CAGGTAGGGCACAGGTAGGGCACAGGTAGGGCACAGGTAGGGCACAGGTAGGGCATAGCTAGGGCAAAGGTAGGGCAAAGGTAAGACACAGGTAGGGCACAGGTAGGGCACAGCTAGGACATAGGTAGGACACAGGTAGGGCACAGGTAGGGCACAGGTAGGACACAGGTAGGACACAGGTAAGACACAGGTAGGGCACAGGTAGGACACAGGTAGGGCACAGGTAGGGCATAGCTAGGGCAAAGGTAGGGCAAAGGTAGGGCAAAGGTAGGACACAGGTAGGACATAGCTAGGGCACAGGTAGGGCACAGGTAGGACACAGGTAGGACATAGCTAGGGCACAGGTAGGGCACAGGTAGGGCACAGGTAGGGCACAGGTAGGGCACAGGTAGGACACAGGTAGGACACAGGTAGGGCACAGGTAGGGCACAGGTAGGGCATAGCTAGGGCAAAGGTAGGGCAAAGGTAGGGCAAAGGTAGGACACAGGTAGGACATAGCTAGGGCACAGGTAGGGCACAGGTAGGACACAGGTAGGACATAGCTAGGGCACAGGTAGGGCACAGGTAGGGCACAGGTAGGGCACAGGTAGGGCACAGGTAAGACACAGGTAAGACACAGGTAGGGCACAGGTAGGGCATAGCTAGGGCAAAGGTAAGACACAGGTAGGGCACAGCTAGGACATAGGTAGGACACAGGTAGGGCACAGGTAGGGCACAGGTAGGACACAGGTAGGACACAGGTAAGACACAGGTAGGGCACAGGTAGGACACAGGTAGGGCACAGGTAGGGCATAGCTAGGGCAAAGGTAGGGCAAAGGTAGGGCACAGGTAAGACACAGGTAGGGCACAGGTAGGGCACAGGTAGGACATAGCTAGGGCACAGGTAGGACACAGGTAGGGCACAGGTAGGGCACAGATAGGACACAGGTAGGGCACAGGTAGGGCACAGGTAAGACACAGGTAGGGCACAGGTAGGGCATAGCTAGGGCAAAGGTAGGGCACAGGTAGGGCACAGGTAGGGCACAGGTAGGACATAGGTAGGACACAGGTAGGACATAGCTAGGGCACAGGTAGGGCACAGGTAGGACACAGGTAGGGCACAGGTAGGACACAGGTAGGGCACAGGTAGGGCACAGGTAAGACACAGGTAGGGCACAGGTAGGACACAGGTAGGGCACAGGTAGGGCACAGGTAGGACACAGGTAAGACACAGGTAGGGCACAGGTAGGGCACAGGTAAGACACAGGTAGGGCACAGGTAGGGCATAGCTAGGGCAAAGGTAGGGCACAGGTAGGGCACAGGTAGGGCACAGGTAGGACATAGGTAGGACACAGGTAGGACATAGGTAGGACACAGGTAGGACATAGGTAGGGCACAGGTAGGGCACAGGTAGGACACAGGTAGGGCACAGGTAAGACACAGGTAGGGCACAGGTAGGACACAGGTAAGACACAGGTTGGAAACAGGTAGGGCACAGGTAGGGCAAAGGTAGGGCACAGGTAAGACACAGGTAGGGCACAGGTAGGACATAGGTAGGACACAGGTAGGACATAGGTAGGGCACAGGTAGGGCACAGGTAGGACACAGGTAGGGCACAGGTAAGACACAGGTAGGGCACAGGTAGGACACAGGTAGGGCACAGGTAGGACACAGGTAGGGCAAAGGTAGGACATAGGTAGGGCACAGGTAGGGCACAGGTAGGACACAGGTAGGGCACAGGTAGGGCAAAGGTAGGACATAGGTAGGGCACAGGTAGGACACAGGTAAGACACAGGTAGGGCACAGGTAGGACACAGGTAGGGCAAAGGTAGGACATAGGTAGGGCACAGGTAGGGCACAGGTAGGACACAGGTAAGACACAGGTAAGACACAGGTAGGGCACAGGTAGGGCATAGCTAGGGCAAAGGTAGGACACAGGTAAGACACAGGTAAGACACAGGTAGGGCACAGGTAGGGCACAGGTAGGGCAAAGGTAGGACATAGGTAGGGCACAGGTAGGGCACAGGTAGGACACAGGTAAGACACAGGTAGGGCACAGGTAGGGCATAGCTAGGGCAAAGGTAGGACACAGGTAGGGCACAGGTAGGGCACAGGTAGGACACAGGTAAGACACAGGTAGGGCACAGGTAGGGCACAGGTAGGGCAAAGGTAGGACATAGGTAGGGCACAGGTAGGGCACAGGTAGGACACAGGTAAGACACAGGTAGGGCACAGGTAGGGCATAGCTAGGGCAAAGGTAGGACACAGGTAGGGCACAGGTAAGGCACAGGTAGGAGACAGGTAGGGCACAGGTAGGGCACAGGTAGGACATAGGTAGGGCACAGGTACGGCACAGGTAGGGCACAGGTAGGACACAGGTAGGGCACAGGTAGGGCATAGCTAGGGCAAAGGTAGGACACAGGTAGGACACAGGTAGGGCACAGGTAAGGCACAGGTAGGGCACAGGTAGGACACAGGTAAGACACAGGTAGGGCACAGGTAGGGCACAGGTAGGGCATAGCTAGGGCAAAGGTAGGGCAAAGGTAGGGCACAGGTAAGACACAGGTAGGGCACAGGTAGGACATAGGTAGGACACAGGTAGGACATAGGTAGGGCACAGGTAGGGCACAGGTAGGACACAGGTAGGGCACAGGTAGGACACAGGTAGGGCACAGGTAGGACACAGGTAAGACACAGGTAGGGCACAGGTAGGACACAGGTAGGGCACAGGTAAGACACAGGTAGGGCACAGGTAGGGCACAGCTAGGGCATAGCTAGGGCAAAGGTAGGGCACAGGTAAGACACAGGTAGGGCACAGGTAGGACACAGGTAGGACACAGGTAGGACATAGCTAGGGCACAGGTAGGGCACAGGTAGGGCACAGGTAAAACACAGGTAGGGCACAGGTAGGGCACAGGTAGGACACAGGTAGGGCACAGGTAGGACACAGGTAGGGCACAGGTAGGGCACAGGTAGGACATAGGTAGGACACAGGTAGGGCACAGGTAAGGCACAGGTAGGGCACAGGTAGGGCATAGGTAGGGCACAGGTAGGGCACAGGTAGGGCACAGGTAGGGCACAGGTAGGGCAAAGGTAGGGCACAGGTAGGGCACAGGTAGGACACAGGTAGGGCATAGCTAGGGCACAGGTAGGACACAGGTAGGGCACAGGTAGGACATAGCTAGGGCACAGGTAGGGCACAGGTAAGACACAGGTAGGACATAGCTAGGGCACAGGTAGGACACAGGTAGGGCACAGGTAGGACACAGGTAGGACACAGGTAGGGCACAGGTAGGGCACAGGTAGGGCAAAGGTAGGGCACAGGTAGGACACAGGTAGGGCACAGGTAGGACACAGGTAGGGCATAGGTAGGACACAGGTAGGGCAAAGGTAGGGCACAGGTAGGACACAGGTAGGGCACAGGTAGGACACAGGTAGGGCATAGCTAGGGCACAGGTAAGACACAGGTAGGACAACGGTAGGACACAGGTAGGGCACAGGTAGGGCACAGGTAGGACATAGCTAGGGCACAGGTAGGGCACAGGTAAGACACAGGTAGGGCATAGCTAGGGCATAGCTAGGGCACAGGTAGGACACAGGTAGGGCACAGGTAGGACATAGGTAGGGCACAGGTAGGGCACAGGTAGGACACAGGTAAGACACAGGTAGGGCACAGGTAGGACACAGGTAGGGCACAGGTAGGACACAGGTAAGACACAGGTAGGGCACAGGTAGGGCACAGGTAGGACATAGGTAGGGCACAGGTAGGACACAGGTAGGGCACAGGTAGGACATAGGTAGGGCACAGGTAGGGCACAGGTAGGACACAGGTAAGACACAGGTAGGGCACAGGTAGGACACAGGTAGGACACAGGTAGGGCACAGGTAGGGCACAGGTAGGACACAGGTAGGACATAGCTAGGGCACAGGTAGGACACAGGTAGGGCACAGGTAGGACATAGGTAGGGCACAGGTAGGGCACAGGTAGGACACAGGTAAGACACAGGTAGGGCACAGGTAGGACACAGGTAGGGCACAGGTAGGGCACAGGTAGGACACAGGTAGGACATAGCTAGGGCACAGGTAGGACACAGGTAGGGCACAGGTAGGACATAGGTAGGGCACAGGTAGGGCACAGGTAGGACACAGGTAGGGCACAGGTAGGGCACAGGTAGGGCACAGGTAGGGCACAGGTAGGGCACAGGTAAGACACAGGTAGGGCACAGGTAGGGCACAGGTAGGGCACAGGTAGGACACAGGTAGGGCACAGGTAGGACACAGGTAGGGCACAGGTAGGGCACAGGTAGGGCACAGGTAGGGCACAGGTAGGGCACAGGTAGGGCACAGGTAAGACACAGGTAAGACACAGGTAGGGCACAGGTAGGGCACAGGTAGGGCACAGGTAGGGCACAGGTAGGACACAGGTAGGGCACAGGTAGGACACAGGTAAGACACAGGTAGGGCACAGGTAGGGCACAGGTAGGGCACAGGTAGGACACAGGTAGGGCACAGGTAGGACACAGGTAGGGCACAGGTAAGACACAGGTAGGGCACAGGTAGGGCACAGGTAAGACACAGGTAAGACACAGGTAGGGCACAGGTAGGGCACAGGTAGGACACAGGTAGGACACAGGTAGGGCACAGGTAGGGCACAGGTAGGGCACAGGTAGGACAGAGTTATTACTGTAATTCCCAGTTAACCCCCCCCCCCATCATATTTCCCAACCTTCCAGGTGAATGATATAAAAATAAAACACTGTATTGGAAGAAACACTTCAGTTTTGGAAGCCGGGGCTCTGCCCCTTCTCCTCCTCCTCCTCCTGCTCCTCCTCCTTCTCCTCCTCCTCCTCCTGCTCCTCCTCCTTCTCCTCCTTCTCCTCCTCCTCCTCCTTCTCCTCCTCCTCCTCCTCCTCCGGCTCCATCTTTCCTCTCTCCTCGTCGTAGAGCTGCTCTCAGGTTCTGCAGGGATCCTGTTTTCCTGCAGTGATGCTGCTGTTGGTAACGCTGTGTTTGTCCTCCAGGGTCAGGGTACCCGTACGTTCTGGAGGCTCCAGCTCAGGACTTTATCTCTGGTAAACAAACCGATCCTGGACTGACCCCCCGCCCCCCCCCCCCCCCCCCCCCCCTAACGGCTCCATCAATAATCTGAACTAAATGCTCATTGAGTGTCGCTGCTCTAATGCTTGCAAACCGTTTGCGGCGCTTTGTGATGTTTTAATCCTTCGTCATGAATAACCAGCAAAGCTCGGCAGACATCAGCAACCAGCTCCACCCGCCTCGATGGCGCTGCTCCTCCTCGGTGGAGTCTACGCCTCCATAACGGGCTGACTGTTTAAGGAATTGATTTTGTGGGCCCAGAGCATGATGCAGCCTCCTCATTCAGCGCCATCTGTCCTGTTGATCAGCTCCGTCATGCAGAAAGTGATTCTGAGGCTCAGAAGTCAAAGTGGGCGGGGCAACAGAGTTCCTGCATTTTTCAGCCACTTATTTGATTTTATTAGATTTTGTTCATTTTTTTCCACGTGTGTTTTTCTTTAACCTGATAAAATGTGTAAAAGCTGGTAAGGAAAATCTGCAGGAAACATCATCCTGCTTTTCTTCTGTCTGCATGTCGCTGATTTTAAACGGTTTATCATCCGTCAGTATTTAGGGTGTGAAGGAGAGAGCAGGTGCTGGAAATGCTGAGGCTCGTTACTGTAGGTCTGGAAGTGGAAATGATCAGCCTGCCATGTCTGCAGAGGACTGCAGAACGAAAGCGCTGACTCTGCGATGGCAGAACATGTTTGGGTTCAGAAGGAGGGATAATAAAAGGGAAAGATGGAGAAAAGAACAGAGCAGCAATGGATGGTTTGGAAAGAGGTGGAAGAGTTCATGCAGGGACGTCTGGATGGACGTCTGCAGATGGAAGAGCAGCGTCAGTGGAAGCTGCATCCTGGAGCTTTTCATTTCCTGTGAAGGAACATCAGAACCAAAAGTCTGATTCTGTTCATAAATGACAGAAAGCAGCAGGTGTGGTTAAAGCTGCATACGACGTTAAGAGCATGCCGGAGAGGAGCAACTCAGCAGTGACCAGATGAGTCTGAGGGAAGGACTGAGAAATAAATACCTAGAAGTTACCACCCACCTCTGATTCTAATGAAGGAAGAAAACGTTTCCTGATCGTCCTGGAAGATCTGAGCCTGCAGGCTGAGCCACAGAACCAGAGCTGCTCCAACAGAACCTCCTCTGCCAACCAGGATGACGTGTTTGAACGGTGGAGAGAAAATAAAACAGCAAAAATAGAGACCGAGTTCATCCTAGAAGTCTGCTTTCACTCCTGGAGGAGATGCTCAATAGCAGGTGTGGGCGGCCCCACACTCGCCCTACAGTTCCCTGATTAGAGGCGACGGGGCCCCAGATATCCTGAGGGACCCCAGATCACTGAGACATGGGGACACCCACTAAAGAAGGACAGATTAGGGACAAATATTTCAGTACAACATCCTGAGTTGATAAAGTGGTCCAGAGGAATTATTACTGTTAATTAATGGGCATTATCCATAACAACTAAAAAATAATGAATAAATACATAAAAACATCAGTATAGATTTTTCCACCTGTATTATTATTTTTTCTTACACATTAAATTTACATTCCTCTTTGTTTTATTTCTATCAGGTTACTGAATAAAAATAACTGAACAGAGATGTAGATCTATCATTACCAGACAGGGTATGTCGATGCTAACTGTGAGCTAGCTCTATGTTTTTACATTAGTCTAATCAACCAATCAGTGCTGATCAGAGCTTTAAACAGGCGCTTCTGGTTCCTCTCAGAGGAATGTTAGAACTTTTTGGCTCAGAAAGCTTCTCTAGCTACCATGCTAACCGCTAGCATGTCCTGGCTCAGAAAGCTTTTCTAGCTACCATACTAACCGCTAGCACGTCCTGGCTCAGAAAGCTTCTCTAGCTACCATACTAACTGCTAGCATGTCCTGGCTCAGAAAGCTTCTCTAGCTACCATACTAACTGCTAGCATGTCCTGGCTCAGAAAGCTTCTCTAGCTACCATGCTAACTGCTAGCATGTCCTGGCTCAGAAAGCTTCTCTAGCTACCATGCTAACTGCTAGCATGTCCTGGCTCAAAAAGCTTCTCTAGCTACCATGCTAACTGCTAGCATGTCCTGGCTCAGAAAGCTTTTCTAGCTACCATACTAACCGCTAGCATGTCCTGGCTCAGAAAGCTTCTCTAGCTACCATGCTAACTGCTAGCATGTCCTGTTCCAACCGTTTAGCATAGTCCATCAGCGTCTCCTCCTTAGCAGAGAAGTTTTGCTGCTCCTCCTCTTCCCCTTCTCCTGCTTTTTCATCACGTTGCTTTGAGGTGCTAACTAGCTTAGCCCTAGCTTACTAGGCTAACTAGCTTAGCCCTAGCTTACTAGGCCAGACATTCCAAGTCTCCTGGAAGTTCAGGGAGTCTCCCTGATATCGATAGTTGTTCACGGATGCCAGCAGGCAGGATAAATAATCCAGGATTTCATGTGCGGATTAGAACTGCTGTGATTTCGCAGACAACAGAGAGCGGGGTGTGAGGAGGAGGTGCTGGTGAAACCTGTGCAGCGTTTCTGTCCAAAGCGATGCTCTGATCAACCAGCGTTCCAGGCGACTGGTTGATCAGAGAGCTGATTGGATCGATAAGTTTCTCTGGTTCCTCTCTGGCAGTCGCCTAGTTACCACTGAAAGCAGTGCATCCTGGGAAACGGCAGAGGTTCAATCCTCCAGTAAAAAAATATAGGACTAGTTTTACAGCAGAATATACTAAAGTATATCCACGTCTAGTAAAGGGGAGGAACAGTGGCGGATCTAGACCAAATGGACCAGGGGGCCAGCAGGGGGCCAGAGTGTTTTCATGGGGGCCCAGAAAAGCATGAAATAAAAAACGAGCAAGGAATTCAAATATATTAAAAAAAGATGCATGAAGGGACATTTCTTTTCTATAAGGTTAAATAAAAATTCTATTTATTATGAGGTCAATATACATTTATAATTTAGGAATTTTAAATATTTTTGACCTAATTTAAGTAAAAAATACCCTTTTCTATAAAATTTGACTTAGAACTCAAGAAAACTGTTAAATTCATCTGTAAAAATTGGAGCATTTTTTTCTATTAAAAACATATAATAGATAAAAACTGGGATCCTATGTCAGTCCCACTGAAGCTTTCTTTTTGTTTTTGAATAATTAGTGAAACAGAATTTGTAAAGAAAAACAATGAAATAGATCCAAAGGAGCCATCAGTAACCATGTCTGTTCCAGCGCAGATCATCATTATTATGTCTTCAGAACGAGGCCCTTACAGGGGCAGTGGCCCCCGTTGGCCCCTGTCTAGAACCGGCACTGTATGCTGCAGTCCCATTAAAACAGATCAGCTGATGGTCAGGCTGCATTGAAAAGGGTTCAGGTTGATTTTATCAGGAGGAAAAATCAGGGAATGATTGGATGCACTGCGTAACCATGGCAACCGCAATGAGCCTCAGCAGGTTAGTGGGAGGGAGGGGAAGGAGAGAGGAGGTGGGCAAAGGGAGGGGAAGGAGGGAGGAGGCAGAGAGGGGAGATTAAAGCCACGTTAGAGGGTGACGAAAAAAAATGTAGGGGGGGGGGGTTCCATGGGGTGAGTGGGGGGGTCAGGTGGGAAGGAGCAAGCAGCTTATTGCAACGATTGCAATGACATGAAGAAAACGTAACGCAGCATAAAGGCAGCAGCAGTGAAAAGAGGCAGCATGATGCTGTGGGCTGGTTTTCTCCACCAGGACCAGGAAGCTGATCCCACTGCGGCTGTTTCCATGGAAACGCTCGGTTTATTAATCCATCCAATATGGAGGAGCGAACCTGAAAATCCTTTAGAGGAGAAGTTTTCCTCGCAGACTGAAGGTGTTTTTGTTCTCCAGTGACGGCGGCTCGTTGGTCCGTTACGCCTCCACTGGTTAACCAGCCATCAGCTGCTACTAACCAGCATGTCTGGTTCTAACGTCTCTAAACTGGATGCAGTCGGATGTTTCCCAGCAGGATGCAGAATGATGGCGTCTGCTCGTTAGCCTCCTCATTAACCCTTTCATTCAGGTAACCTACCTGTTAGATGCTTTCTTCTTCTATGCTGTGCTAAACCATGAGGAGCGGTTCTAGGATTCTATATCCAAAACAAATCTAGAAAACATACCTCAATATTTAGGAATTATTTTGGCTTCATATTTTTTTTTTTTAGTGGAACAAAATGTTAAAAGAAAGTCTGTTTTTTGATAGATTTTGTGTCTTTTCTTTAGAAATAATTAAATTTGGCTTCATGTTTTATTGCATAACAAGTTATTCGTAACATAACGATGTAAACAACAATGGAAATTTGTTAAAAATCAAATATTATCCAGAGACGTAAACGTCTGAACGGTTTAACTGCTGGTTCTCTGACATCATTCCAGCTGTTTGGAGCAGCTGGTTGCCTCATGCTGTTTCTCCTTTTCCTGCTTCTCCTATCTGGAAGCGTTGCCTAGCAACAGCTGGACGCCATCCGCTGCTTTTTTCTCAGGTAGAAAACCTGACATGAATTAGTCGCCTGGTTCTGATCTCAGGTGTTTATCTGTTAATGTTCATTAAATAATAATAATTAAGTTTTATTGATTTATTGAATTCCCTCAGTGAGCAGTGGGCTGCCGTTGTGCGGGGGGGGGGGAATAAGGGTGTTGCTCAGGGACCCAGAGGGATGGCAGAGCCTCTCACTGCATCATTAGTTCTTATTTTCTCGGATTGAGCCTGAATGTTTCCTCAGGAAGTTTCCATACGAACTCGTCGCTGCTCCTCGAAACGCCAAATTCCAAAGAATGTTAATGAAAGTTTCTGGGGTTTGAATAGTTGGTATCTGAGACACGCTGCCCCCTGATGGGTGGGAGGACAAATCAGGGACGTTTATTTCTTCTCCAGTCTTAGAAACCTTCATTTAATTCCTTTAGCGTTAGGCTGGCTAAACGGCGGCGTATTTTAGGGAAACTTCCTGTTCTGATGCAGCGGACCTTTCTGACCGCCTGGTAGACGGTGTCCTTCATCAGGCCACAGGTGAAGCTACAGGCCAGCAGAACCTCAGATGTTCGGGTCGGTTCTGACTGCTGCAACGGTTTAGGTTCTGGTTGCTCCGGTTTCCATGATCGACCTAAGCTGCGGCTGACGCTGCTCCGCTAACATGTCCTCTTTGCTTCCTGCAGTCTGCACAGTTCGTTGCCAGAAGTTCCTGATCTCACGGGTCGGGGAGGACTGGATCTTCCTGATCCTGCTGGGACTGGTCATGGCGCTGGTCAGCTGGGCGGTGGACTTCTGCATCGCCATCTGCCTCCAAGGTGAGACCAGAGAGGAGGAGCAGACTGACCCACCGTGGTCAACGTCATCAGATAGATCAGATATCAGACTGGATCAGGATGCTGTTCTGAAAGAGAGGAGGTGGAAGGCAGACGGAGAGATCAGGGAGAAGGAGGGGGGGCAGAGGGAAAGAGAGAGCCGGTCATTAATCGAACCAGGACCCCCACCCCCACCTCCTACTTCTCTGCTTGTTCTCTCCGTCTCACTCTAGGTGCTCTAGTTCTGCTTTTAACTCACCTGCTTTGCCTCCCTCCACAGCACAGAAGTGGATGTATGGTGGTCTGGACAGCAACGTGTTCCTGCAGTACCTGGCCTGGGTCACCTACCCGGTGGTCCTGATCACCTTCTCTGCTGGCTTCACTCAGATCTTGGCCCCCCAGGCTGTAGGTAAGGACAGACTAACCAGACTGGATCCATTCCTGATGTTGATCAAACTCATTTATTTACCAGTTTATATCCGACCCATCGGGTTAGGGGGTCAGGGAGTCAGGGGTTAGGGGGTCAGGGGTTAGGGGGTCAGGGGTTAGGGGTCAGGGAGTTAGGGGTCAGGGAGTCAGGGGTCAGGGTTTAGGGTGGACACACGTCTTCAGAAGAACCGAGTGAAGTTCCAGGGGCCTCTGGTCCATATCTGTGGCTGCTGAGATCCAGAGTCCCCTAATGGGACCTTTGACCTTGGTGATGGTTCCCAGTTCCACCTCCAGGAACATCTGGACAGACCAGCTTTTGGTGGGGATGTTCTTCCAGATCCAACCTTTGCCGCGTGTCTCAGCAGTGTTGGGTTGGGTTAAAGTTACTCGTTACTTATCCAGAGAGGTAACTGAGTTAGTAACTTGGTTACTGCTCAATGAAAGTAACTAGTTCCTTTTTGTGTAAAATGTGGAAAACTTTCCTGTTTCTTAGGAATGAAAGTAGAAGCAGAGATATCAGCTGACCTGATTGAAAGGTGCACATCTGGAAACATCTGGAAACATCTGGAAACATCTTAAACTAATCTGAAGTGTTTGGCTGTGTCAGTTAATGAGTCACTGTTTGCATCAAGACTGCATCTCAGCTGACATGTCTGCAGACATCCAGATGTTATCAAACCAGGTTTAGGTCCAGACTATAGCTGGACTCAGACCTGCTGAGTCTCACCTGTTCTTCCGGAGTTCCTTCTGCCTGCTACTGGTGGCACTGGTTCTACTGGTGATCCAGATGTGGATCCGTAGACGTCACTAAGCTCCTCCTCTTCCTCCTGCAGGTTCAGGGATCCCTGAGATGAAGACCATCCTGAGGGGGGTGGTGCTGAAGGAGTACCTCACCTTCAAAACCTTTGTGGCCAAAGTCATCGGGCTCACCTGCTCCCTGGGCAGCGGCATGCCTCTGGGCAAGGAGGTAACGGAACGGGTCGGCCCGCAGAGCGGAACCGCTGCTGCTGCTGCACGGCTCTGAAGGCTGCTCTGTCATGCTGAGGGACTCCCAGCACAACGCCTTCACCTGAGGACAGACGTCCAGCCTCCGCCGCATTAACTAATGCCTTAATGCATCAACGCATTAGTTAATGGGTTAGTTAGTTGGTTAGGTTGGTGGTTAGGAGTTAGTTAGATGGGTAGTTAGTTGGTTAGGCTGGTAGCTAGGTAGGTGGATAGTTGGTTGGTTAGGTTGGTAGTTAGGAGTTAGTTAGATGGGTAGTTAGTTGGTTAGGCTGGTAGCTAGGTAGGTGGATAGTTGGTTGGTTAGGTTGGTAGCTAGGTAGGTGGATAGTTGGTTGGTTAGCTTGGTAGTTAGGAGTTAGTTAGATGGGTAGTTAGTTGGTTAGGCTGGTAGCTAGGTAGGTGGATAGTTGGTTGGTTAGGTTGGTGGTTAGGTAGATGTGTAGTTGGTTGGTTAGGTTGGTAGTTAGGAGTTAGTTAGATGGGTAGTTGGTTGGTTAGGTTGATGGTTAGGTAGATGGGTAGTTGGTTGGTTAGGCTGGTAGCTAGGTAGGTGGATAGTTGGTTGGTTAGGTTGGTAGTTATGAGTTAGTTAGATTGGTAGTTGGTTGGTTAGGTTGGTAGTTAGGTAGATGGATAGTTGGATGGTTAGGTTGGTAGTTAGGTAGATGGGTAGTTGGTTGGTTAGGCTGGTAGTTAGGTAGGTGGATAGTTGGTTGGTTAGGTTGGTAGTTAGGAGTTAGTTAGATGGGTAGTCGGTTGGTTAGGTTGGTGGTTAGGTAGATGGGTAGTTGGTTAGTTAGGTTGGTGGTTAGGTAGGTGGATAGTTGGTTGGTTAGGTTGGTAGTTAGGAGTTAGTTAGATGGGTAGTCGGTTGGTTAGGTTGGTGGTTAGGTAGGTGGATAGTTGGTAGGTTAGGCTGGTAGTTAGTTAGATGGGTAATTGGTGGTTAGGTTGGTAGTTAGTTAGATGGGTAATTGGTGGTTAGGTTGGTAGTTAGGTAGGTGGGTAGTTGGTTGGTTAGGCTGGTAGTTAGGTAGGTGGATAGTTGGTTGGTTAGGTTGGTAGTTAGGAGTTAGTTAGATGGGTAGTCGGTTGGTTAGGTTGGTGGTTAGGTAGATGGGTAGTTGGTTGGTTAGGTTGGTGGTTAGGTAGGTGGATAGTTGGTTGGTTAGGTTGGTAGTTAGGAGTTAGTTAGATGGGTAGTCGGTTGGTTAGGTTGGTGGTTAGGTAGGTGGATAGTTGGTAGGTTAGGCTGGTAGTTAGTTAGATGGGTAATTGGTGGTTAGGTTGGTAGTTAGGTAGGTGGGTAGTTGGTTGGTTAGGTTGGTGGTTAGGTAGGTGGGTAGTTGGTTGGTTAGGTTGGTTATTAGGTAAAAGGTCCCCCCCTGCAGCATCCGTAGTCCAGATTATCATCTGGCCAGTAATCCTGTGGTTTGATGATGTGTTTTTGTTTCTCTCAGAACAAACCAAAGTACCGTTTAACCGTCTCCCACCTTCTGTTTGCTCCTGCAGGGTCCCTTCGTTCACATCGCCAGCCTGTGTGCTGCTCTGCTCAGCAAGTTCATGTCTCTGTTTGGAGGAATCTATGAGGTGAATTTCTATCAGTGGACCTTTAATGGCAGAGATCTGCAAAACGATCCAGACGCCTCAGCTCCGTCCGTTTGTCTCCATGTCCCTGGATTTAGATTTAGAGTAAAAAACTGAACAATCTGATTGCATGTTTATACATCTCTGCTTATATCATAAACATTAGATCAATTACTGAGCTGCTTACATCATGATTAAACATTAAATGCTCCCCCCACCCGCCACCACCACCTCTGTGGAGGACGTGTTGGACCTGATTCCATAATGTGTTTCTCATCCTTTCTTCTCTGCCTCTTTAACTCTCTCTCTTCTGCTACCTGAAGGAGCCGGGTCTAGTAGGGATTAAGGTAACCCGGCTGCTCCTTTCCCAGCATGCTTTGCTTCATTTCCTTTGTCGAATCATTGAAACATTGAAAACCTGCAGCCCTGGTCTAGACTTTGATTAGGCCAGGTTCTCATTGTGCTGCTAGAAGGTGAACCTCCCATCAGCCCGCTTTGGTTTGGTCCTCATGGCCCCGCTGCTTCCTGGCCGACTGAAACTTAACCGTTTGTGTTAAGTAACTTTTTAAGAGGGTGAATACTTTTGCAAGGCACCATAGTTTGATCTTCTATTGAGGTGTTTGCTGTGTAGCTGTCAGAGGAAGCAAAGCATGATGGGATTCAGGCCTCAGGATTTCAGTCTCCTGGGAACAGGAGGTCATCAGACTCCTGCAGGGAGGCGCCTTGATGCACCTAATCCTGCAGGAGCTCTGGGTGGACCTCCTCCCCTGGAATAAACACACTTTATATATGATTAGGAGAAATCCTTAAAGTTTAGATCAAACTGACCTGATTTGATCAAATCTTTTCCAGATGTAATGTAATGTTCTAAATGTTAAATTATTTCTGTCTTTCATTAGTTTTCTTGTCATTAACTGTGAAATGCGGCTTGTTTTGTGTCTGCGTTCCAGAATGAGTCGAGGAACATCGAGATGCTGGCGGCAGCGTGTGCGGTGGGAGTGGGGTGCTGCTTCGCCGCCCCCATCGGAGGTTAGTCTCCAGATAAGGATGACGGAAATAAAAAACAGACATTCACCAAATGTTCCTGGGAAATATCATAATCCATAGATCTAGAAGTAAAAGATTTACAAACATGATCATCATTTAGATACAGGAATCCTGTTTCTGATGGTAACTGATGGAAAGCATGTTGAGGTTAAAGTCATGATCAGAGGCGTGTCTTCAGGAACATGAGGAAGTCAGTGTTCCCTTCTGATGTTACAGGTGTGCTCTTCAGCATCGAAGTAACTTCCACCTTCTTTGCTGTGAGGAACTACTGGAGAGGATTCTTTGCTGCCACCTTCAGCGCCTTCATCTTCAGAGTGCTGGCTGTGTGGAACCGAGACGAAGGTGATTGATCCTGATCTACCTGTCCGTTGGAACGTTCCAACTGTCCATGGGAACGTTCCAACTGTCCGTGGGAACGTTCCAACTGTCCGTGGGAACGTTCCAACTGTCCGTGGGAAGATTCCGGCTGTCCGTGGGAACGTTCCGGCAGTCAATGGGAACGTTCCAACTGTCCGTGGGAACGTTCCAACTGTCCGTGGGAATGTTCCAACTGTCCGTGGGAACGTTCCAACTGTCCGTGGGAAGATTCCAGCTGTCAGTGGGAACGTTCCGGCTGTCAATGGGAACGTTCCGGCTGTCAGTGGGAACGTTCCGGCAGTCAATGGGAACGTTCCGGCTGTCAATGGGAACGTTCCGGCTGTCAGTGGGAACGTTCCAGCTGTCAGTGGGAAGATTCCAGCTGTCAGTGGGAACGTTCCGGCGGTCAGTGGGAACGTTCCAGCTGTCAGTGGGAAGATTCCAGCTGTCAGTGGGAAGATTCCAGCTGTCAGTGGGAACGTTCCAGCTGTCAGTGGGAACGTTCCAGCTGTCAGTGGGAAGATTCCAGCTGTCAGTGGGAACGTTCCGGCAGTCAGTGGGAACGTTCCAGCTGTCAGTGGGAAGATTCCAGCTGTCAGTGGGAACGTTCCGGCAGTCAATGGGAACGTTCCAGCTGTCAGTGGGAAGATTCCAGCTGTCAGTGGGAACGTTCCGGCTGTCAGTGGGAATGTTCCAGCTGTCAGTGGGAACGTTCCGGCAGTCAATGGGAACGTTCCGGCTGTCAGTGGGAATGTTCCAGCTGTCAGTGGGAACGTTCCGGCAGTCAATGGGAACGTTCCGGCAGTCAGTGGGAACGTTTCGGCTGTCAGTGGGAACGTTCCGGCTGTCAGTGGGAACGTTCCGGCTGTCAGTGGGAATGTTCCAGCTGTCAGTGGGAACGTTCCGGCAGTCAATGGGAACGTTCCGGCTGTCAGTGGGAACGTTCCGGCTGTCAGTGGGAATGTTCCAGCTGTCAGTGGGAAGATTCCAGCTGTCAGTGGGAACGTTCCGGCTGTCAGTGGGAAGATTCCAGCTGTCAGTGGGAAGATTCCAGCTGTCAGTGGGAACGTTCCAGCTGTCAGTGGGAACGTTCCAGCTGTCAGTGGGAAGATTCCAGCTGTCAGTGGGAAGATTCCAGCTGTCAGTGGGAAGATTCCAGCTGTCAGTGGGAAGATTCCAGCTGTCAGTGGGAACGTTCCAACTGTCCGTGGGAATGTTCCAACTGTCCGTGGGAACGTTCCAACTGTCAGTGGGAAGATTCCAGCTGTCAGTGGGAACGTTCCAACTGTCCGTGGGAACGTTCCAACTGTCCGTGGGAACGTTCCAACTGTCAGTGGGAAGATTCCAGCTGTCCGTGGGAACGTTCCAACTGTCCGTGGGAATGTTCCAACTGTCCGTGGGAACGTTCCAACTGTCCGTGGGAAGATTCCAGCTGTCAGTGGGAACGTTCCGGCTGTCAATGGGAACGTTCCGGCTGTCAGTGGGAACGTTCCGGCAGTCAATGGGAACGTTCCGGCTGTCAATGGGAACGTTCCGGCTGTCAGTGGGAACGTTCCAGCTGTCAGTGGGAAGATTCCAGCTGTCAGTGGGAACGTTCTGGCGGTCAGTGGGAACGTTCCGGCTGTCAGTGGGAACGTTCCAGCTGTCAGTGGGAAGATTCCAGCTGTCAGTGGGAACGTTCCGGCGGTCAGTGGGAACGTTCCAGCTGTCAGTGGGAACGTTCTGGCGGTCAGTGGGAACGTTCCAGCTGTCAGTGGGAAGATTCCAGCTGTCAGTGGGAACGTTCCGGCAGTCAATGGGAACGTTCCGGCTGTCAATGGGAACGTTCCGGCTGTCAGTGGGAACGTTCCGGCAGTCAATGGGAACGTTCCAGCTGTCAGTGGGAAGATTCCAGCTGTCAGCGGGAACGTTCCGGCAGTCAATGGGAACGTTCCAGCTGTCAGTGGGAAGATTCCAGCTGTCAGCGGGAACGTTCCGGCAGTCAATGGGAACGTTCCAGCTGTCAGTGGGAAGATTCCAGCTGTCAGCGGGAACGTTCCGGCAGTCAATGGGAACGTTCCAGCTGTCAGTGGGAAGATTCCAGCTGTCAGCGGGAACGTTCCGGCAGTCAATGGGAACGTTCCAGCTGTCAGTGGGAAGATTCCAGCTGTCAGCGGGAACGTTCCGGCAGTCAATGGGAACGATTCCAGCTGTCAGTGGGAAGATTCCAGCTGTCAATGGGAACGTTCCAGCTGTCAGTGGGAACGTTCCAGCTGTCAGTGGGAAGATTCCAGCTGTCAGTGGGAACGTTCCAGCTGTCAGTGGGAACGTTCCAGCTGTCAGTGGGAAGATTCCAGCTGTCAGTGGGAACGTTCCGGCAGTCAGTGGGAACGTTCCAGCTGTCAGTGGGAAGATTCCAGCTGTCAGTGGGAACGTTCCGGCAGTCAATGGGAACTGTTCCAGCTGTCAGTGGGAACGATTCCAGCAGTCAATGGGAACGTTCCGGCTGTCAGTGGGAACGTTCCGGCTGTCAATGGGAACGTTCCAGCTGTCAGTGGGAACGTTCCAGCTGTCAGTGGGAACGTTCCAGCTGTCAGTGGGAACGTTCCGGCAGTCAATGGGAACGTTCCAGCTGTCAGTGGGAAGATTCCAGCTGTCAGTGGGAACGTTCCGGCTGTCAGTGGGAATGTTCCAGCTGTCAGTGGGAACGTTCCGGCAGTCAATGGGAACGTTCCGGCAGTCAGTGGGAACGTTCCGGCTGTCAGTGGGAACGTTCCGGCTGTCAGTGGGAACGTTCCGGCTGTCAGTGGGAATGTTCCAGCTGTCAGTGGGAACGTTCCGGCAGTCAATGGGAACGTTCCGGCTGTCAGTGGGAACGTTCCGGCTGTCAGTGGGAATGTTCCAGCTGTCAGTGGGAAGATTCCAGCTGTCAGTGGGAACGTTCCGGCTGTCAGTGGGAAGATTCCAGCTGTCAGTGGGAAGATTCCAGCTGTCAGTGGGAACGTTCCAGCTGTCAGTGGGAAGATTCCAGCTGTCAGTGGGAAGATTCCAGCTGTCAGTGGGAACGTTCCCACTGACAGCTGGAATCTTCCCACTGACAGCCGGAACGTTCCCATTGACTGCCGGAACGTTCCGGCAGTCAATGGGAACGTTCCGGCTGTCAGTGGGAAGATTCCGGCTGTCAGTGGGAACGTTCCCACTGACAGCCGGAACGTTCCGGCTGTCAGTGGGAATGTTCCAGCTGTCAGTGGGAACGTTCCGGCTGTCAGTGGGAACGTTCCGGCTGTCAGTGGGAACGTTCCGGCTGTCAGTGGGAATGTTCCAGCTGTCAGTGGGAACGTTCTGGCAGTCAATGGGAACGTTCCGGCTGTCAGTGGAAACGTTCCGGCAGTCAATGGGAACGTTCCAGCTGTCAGTTGGAACGTTCCCATGGACAGTTGGAACGTTCCAACTGTCCATGGGAACGTTCCAACTGTCCGTGGGAACGTTCCAACTGTCCGTGGGAACGTTCCAACTGTCCGTGGGAAGATTCCAGCTGTCAGTGGGAACGTTCCGGCAGTCAATGGGAACGTTCCAACTGTCCGTGGGAACGTTCCAACTGTCCGTGGGAATGTTCCAACTGTCCGTGGGAACGTTCCACTGTCAGTGGGAACGTTCCGGCTGTCAGTGGGAACGTTCCGGCTGTCAATGGGAACGTTCCGGCTGTCAGTGGGAACGTTCCAGCTGTCAGTGGGAACGTTCCAGCTGTCAGTGGGAACGTTCCGGCTGTCAGTGGGAACGTTCCAGCTGTCAGTGGGAAGATTCCAGCTGTCAGTGGGAACGTTCCGGCTGTCAGTGGGAACGTTCCAGCTGTCAGTGGGAACGTTCCAGCTGTCAGTGGGAACGTTCCGGCTGTCAGTGGGAAGATTCCAGCTGTCAGTGGGAACGTTCCGGCAGTCAATGGGAACGTTCCGGCTGTCAGTGGGAACGTTCCAGCTGTCAGTGGGAAGATTCCAGCTGTCAGTGGGAACGTTCCGGCAGTCAATGGGACGTTCCCCCCGGGAACGTCCAGCTGTCAGTGGGAAGTTCCAGCTGTCAGTGGGAACGTTCCGGCTGTCAGTGGGAACGTTCCGGCTGTCAGTGGGAACGTTCCGGCAGTCAGTGGGAACGTTCCGGCTGTCAATGGAACGTTCCAGCTGTCAGTGGGAACGTTCCGGCAGTCAATGGGAACGTTCCGGCTGTCAGTGGGAAGATTCCAGCTGTCAGTGGGAACGTTCCGGCTGTCAGTGGGAATGTTCCAGCTGTCAGTGGGAACGTTCCAGCTGTCAGTGGGAACGTTCTGGCAGTCAATGGGAACGTTCCGGCTGTCAGTGGGAACGTTCCGGCAGTCAATGGGAACGTTCCAGCTGTCAGTGGGAATGTTCCAGCTGTCAGTGGGAACGTTCCGGCAGTCAATGGGAACGTTCCGGCAGTCAATGGGAACGTTCCAGCTGTCAGTGGGAAGATTCCAGCTGTCAGTGGGAACGTTCCGGCTGTCAGTGGGAACGTTCCGGCTGTCAGTGGGAACGTTCCGGCAGTCAATGGGAACGTTCCGGCAGTCAATGGGAACGTTCCAGCTGTCAGTGGGAAGATTCCAGCTGTCAGTGGGAACGTTCCGGCTGTCAGTGGGAATGTTCCAGCTGTCAGTGGGAACGTTCCGGCAGTCAATGGGAACGTTCCAGCTGTCAGTGGGAAGATTCCAGCTGTCAGTGGAAGATTCCAGCTGTCAGTGGGAACGTTCCGGCTGTCAGTGGGAATGTTCCAGCTGTCAGTGGGAACGTTCCGGCAGTCAATGGGAACGTTCCAGCTGTCAGTGGGAAGATTCCAGCTGTCAGTGGGAACGTTCCGGCTGTCAGTGGGAATGTTCCAGCTGTCAGTGGGAACGTTCCGGCAGTCAATGGGAACGTTCCGGCTGTCAGTGGGAAGATTCCAGCTGTCAGTGGGAATGTTCCAGCTGTCAGTGGGAACGTTCCGGCAGTCAATGGGAACGTTCCGGCAGTCAATGGGAACGTTCCAGCTGTCAGTGGGAAGATTCCAGCTGTCAGTGGGAATGTTCCAGCTGTCAGTGGGAAGATTCCAGCTGTCAGTGGGAAGATTCCAGCTGTCAGTGGGAAGATTCCAGCTGTCAGTGGGAACGTTCCGGCTGTCAGTGGGAATGTTCCAGCTGTCAGTGGGAACGTTCCAGCTGTCAGTGGGAAGATTCCAGCTGTCAGTGGGAAGATTCCAGCTGTCAGTGGGAATGTTCCAGCTGTCAGTGGGAACGTTTCGGCAGTCAATGGGAACGTTCCGGCAGTCAATGGGAACGTTCCAGCTGTCAGTGGGAGCTGCTCAGTGAAGCACTGGGTAGCACTGCTGCCTTGCAGCAAGAAGGTTCTGGGTTAAATTCCCGGCCCGGAGTCTTTCTGCATGGAGTCTGCATGTTCTCCCTGAGCATGCGTGGGTTCTCTCCGGGTACTCCGGCTTCCTCCCTCAGTCCAAAAACATGACTGTTAGGTTAATTGGCTTCTCTAAATTCTCCTTAGGTGTGAGTGTGTGTGTGGCTGAACTTCTGTTGTGTTGCCTAGTAACAGACTGGTGACCTGTCCAGGGTGGACCCCGCCTTTCGCCTGTAGACAGCTGGAGATAGGCACCGTCCCCCACTGTGACCCTGATGGATTGATGATGATGAAGTGTTTTCTGTCTAGTTTTACTCACTAACTTCCCGTGTTTCTCTCTTCCCACAGAAACCATCACTGCACTTTTCAAAACCCGGTTCCGTTTGGATTTTCCCTTTGACCTTCAGGAGCTTCCTGCCTTTGCTGTCATAGGGTAGGTGAAGGTTGATAAGCTATGCTTTAGCACTCTGCAGCACTGCTCAGCGACACAGAGGAGAGAGAAAGTGAAGCAGATTCTATAAAATGTATAACTGCTCTATCTGATAAAGATCTACTAAAGTGTAACCTTCTTTTGGGGGAGGAAAACTCTGTTAAAGTAATCCTGAAGGTTATTAGAAAGTGGTCAGAGAGGACAGGGTTGTGAGGAAATCCTGTTATTTCTTCACATTCTATGCCGTATGTCAGCACAAGATCCAAAGTATGAAGATGAGAATGTGTGGGACTATTCACACTCTGAACAAAGCCAATAGTGTCTAAGATAGCATTAAAGGCTGCTCTTAAGCTATCGCCTTCAATGTCAGCATGGATGTTAAAATCTCCCACTATGATGACCCTGTCAGTATTTAATACCAAATCAGAAAGGAACTCTGAAAACTCATCTAAAAATTCAGAGTAAGGACCTGGTGGACGATACAAAGTTACAAAAAGAAGAGGTTTTCTTGCTTTGAAATTAGGATCAGGGAAATTAAGGGTTAAATGTTCAAAGAGTTGTAGGTAACTGTTTTGGGAGTAATCAGTAAGTCATTAACTAGCAGACTTTTAGAGGAAAGCGATCTTATGTTAAATAAACCACATTTAATCGTTTTAACTTTTTCCCCAATTGGAATTATTTTGATTTTAATTAGATTATCATGATTTGCTCCTTTGGGAATATTTGCTAATTTATTAGATTTTGGTCGTTGTCAGGACTCTGTCTGGATGAATTTAAACGTCTCTTCACTATTATGAATCAGAAATGAGTGAATCTGTCATCTGTGAAAACCAGTAGAAGGGCAGAGCTGGGCTTTGAACCAGCAACCCTCTGTCCTGCACCACCGTCCCGCCTGGCTGCAGCTGATGCTAGTAGTAGACCACCCCCCCACCCTTCCCTGCATCACATCGCCCTCCCCACAGTCACCCGCTGCCTCCCAGCTGCTGCAGCTCAGTTTGATCGTGCATCGATTGATCATGCCTGCTGAGGGAATGCAGGACTAACCCCCGTTTCTCTCTCTGCAGCATTGCCAGTGGATTTGGGGGGGCTCTGTTCGTCTACCTGAACCGACTGATCGTCCAGTTTATGAGGAAACAAAAGACCATCAACAAATTCCTGATGAAGAAGTAGGTACCTGTGGTGAAGGCGTGGGGGTCGGATGCTCTCTCTACCCGCCTCCAGCTGATGAGTCACTGCTTGTAGGACGATGTGGGCAGCTCTGCTGTATTTTCCAGAAAACAGAGTCAAATCTGCCCCAAAGGTTTTAGCTGCAGTTAAAATTAGGGAAACGTGGGATAATCTGTTATTACGCGGGGGTACGCTGGTCTGACGGGGTACGTTGGTCTGACAGGGTATGCTGGTCTGACGGGGTACGCTGGTCTGACGGGGTACGCTGGTCTGATGGGGTACGCGGGGTACGCTGCTCTGACGGGGTACGCTGGTCTGACGGGGTACGCGGGGTACGCTGGTCTGACGGGGTACGTTGGTCTGCCGGCGTATGCTGGTCTGACGGGGTACGCTGGTCTGATGGGGTACGCGGGGTACGCTGCTCTGACGGGGTACGCTGGTCTGACGGGGTACGCGGGGTACGCTGGTCTGACGGGGTACGCTGGTCTGACGGGGTATGCTGGTCTGACGGGGTACGCTGGTCTGACGGGGTATGTCGGTCTGACGGGGTATGCTGGTCTGACGGGGTACGCTGGTCTGACGGGGTATGCTGGTCTGACGGGGTATGCTGGTCTGACGGGGTATGTCGGTCTGACGGGGTACGCTGGTCTGACATCGTTTGCTTCATGTGTCCTGAAGCCTGATCAGACTGTTTTCTTTCCTCCTTTTCTTAGACGGCTGCTGTATCCTGCTCTGGTCACTTTAGTGGTTTCAACGCTGACGTTTCCCCCTGGATTTGGACAATTCATGGCTGGGAAGGTATGGATAGATCTGTGCTTGATAGATCAGCTCTACTTTATAGCAGACATGTTGGTTTCTGTAAACTGTCTCCGTCTGAAGCGCCTGCAGTCGACACGCTGCCCTGCAGTGATTTTTGTTTTAATCACTGAACCGGTTCAGGTTAGAGGGACCAGGCCTTGCTTTAAGGCATCATGGGTAGGCGGATGATTGACAGTTTCCATGGCAGCCAGTCCAAACAGGAAGTGAAGTCTAGGAGCGAAGCGAGCAGGAAGCTGTGCGCCGTTTCCGTGCTGAGATTCCATAGGAGGCTTTATGTCAGGAGTTTATGAAGAAACATGGAGGAACAGGAAACCCTCTGCTGATTAATGTTCCTGGTTATTAGTAAGTCATCAGCGGACGCCGAGACGCGAGCAGCATACTGTCCGTTTCCTCCAGGGACGAGTCAGGAGCGTCTGATTGGATCCCTCCACCTGGTTAATGGCGGCCATCAGAAGCTGCAGGGCGTCCATCCTAACAGGAAACCAGGAAGACCTCTGAAGCTCCGCCCTTTGGAGGACCTGCTCAGAGAACAGGCTCCTCCTCCTCCTCATCATCATTGTCCTCTCTAGTAGAGACGGCGGCCGCAGCTGAAGAAGTTTTAAACTCTGCAGTGAGCCCACTGCCCCCCGGGTGCCGCACCATGGCAGCCCACTGCCCCCCGGGTGTCGCGCCATGGCAGCCCACTGCCCCCCGGGCGCTGCACCACTGCTCCCCGGGTGCCGCGCCATGGCAGCCCACTGCCCCCCGGGCGCCGCACCACGGCAGCCCACTGCCCCCCGGGTGCCGCACCAAGGCAGCCCACTGCCCCCCGGGCGCCGCACCATGGCAGCCCACTGCTCCCCGGGCGCCGCACCATGGCAGCCCACTGCCCCCCGGGCGCCGCACCAAGGCAGCCCACTGCCCCCCGGGCGCCGCACCATGGCAGCCCACTGCCCCCCGGGCGCCGCGCCACGGCGGCCCACTGCCCCCCGGGCGCCGCCGCACCATGGCAGGCTACTGCCCCCCGGGTGCCGCACCATGGCAGCCCACTGCTCCCCGGGCGCCGCACCATGGCAGCCCACTGCCCCCCGGGCGCCGCGCCACGGCGGCCCACTGCTCCACAAGGAGAACGGGTTAAATGCAGAAAGGGAATTTCTCCAATGTGGGATCAATAAAGTTCAGTTATTGTTATTAATATTAATATTATTATTATCTTATGGACTTTGTCTGCTGGGAAATGAACAGTTTTACCTTTTAATGATTTATTGTTTGGTCTTTAACAGGAAGCTGCTATCATCATTATTACATCACGGTTTATGGTCCAGCAGTAGTTGTCATGGCGACAGGCCGTTTCCCATTGGCTGTAATCACAGCGGTCTGGGTTAACTGCATCACATGAGGCTGAATGGGAATAAATTCAGTAGCTTTTTCTACACAGTCTTGGAAATTGTGGGAAAAGTTTTAAATGTGTTTTAAAGTTTTCCAGGATAAATCAGAAGCGTATTTCTGTGGATGTAGCTGAAGGTTTGTCTCCTCTCTGGTTGGCAGCTGACCCAGAGGGAGGCGCTGGTGACTCTGTTGGACAACCGGACGTGGGCCAAACAGGGCGTCGCTGACGGATTCGACTACATCGGAAACTCCCAGGCCTGGAAACACCCGCAGGTCAACGTCTTCGTCACTCTGGTCCTCTTCATCATCATGAGGGTACGAACACTCAGGAGCGCTAACAGTGAGGAAGCGATGCTATTCTGCTAGTCCTCCATCTTGGAAATCTGCAGTTATCATGGCAGGTAGAGAGACACGAACAAAGAAGAACACCTGAGAAAATTAAAGTTAATATTTGATCCAGTAGCCTTTGTTCCCAGAGGTCAAAGGTTTCCTGTTTTTTTCACCAGATTTGGGCTACAGGAGCGATTTTGGCCCATTCCTCCACACAGATCTTCTCTAGATCTATCAGGTTTCTCAGGAGTCTGAGCTTCCTCCCAAGATTCTCTATTGAGTCTAGGTCTGGAGACTAGCTAGGCCACACCAGAACCTAGATCTGCTTCTAGCAGAGCTGCTCCTTGGTTATCCTGGCTGTGTGCTTTGGGTCATTCAATTCAGTTCTATTCATTTTATTTCTATAGCTCCAATTCACATCATGTCATCTCAGGTCACTTTCCAGTTCACCAGATCATCCAGTCAGATTGATTCAAAGTTTTCTATCTAAGGAAAACCAGCTGATTGCATCGACTCATTGACTCTTCAGCAATCCCTCACACTAAGCATGCTTGTAGCGACAGTGGAGAGGAAAAACTCCCTTTGAACAGGAAGAAACCTCCATCTGCTGAGGCCCACTGGGGTTCAAGGAGACAGAAGCAGATTTCTGCTGTTGTGGTTCTGACCCAAATCTGACCCTCGTTTCAGTTCAGGCGGGACATCAGGTCCAGTTTATCCACCAGACTAGCAGCAGAGTTCTGCCTGAACTTCTCCTTCCTCCAACCCAGATCCAACGTCAGCTGGGAACCGGTCCAGTTTCTTCCAGGACTGGAAGAACTGAAACCGGTTTCCTGGTTCTCTGGTTCCCCGTTTCTCTGTTTCAGGCTGTTCTGCTGAGTTTGTAGCTGTCAGTCTGGATTGAACGGGTTTAGATAATAACCCGTTATCTGTCCTCAGCAGAGTAATCAAAGCTGCATCGGTTCTGCAGCTCCACCGTTTGAAGCAGAGCCCTGCTTCTGGATTGAGGCAGCTGACCCTGTTAGGCTGAGGAGGCGTGAGGTGGACGGGTTCACCGTGCATCGCACCAACAGGAGCGGAGCAACAGCAGAGGGCCCTGCAGAATAAAAGATGGCTGCCGTCCTGAGCTTGGATGGAGGCGCTGCCTGCTGGAGCTTTAAAGAGGCTCCGCCCCCCTCAGCATGACTAACTGCTGGGCTGTAGCTTTACTCTACATTGAAGCCTGTTTCTGCGTTAAATGGCAGCTTCTTGTTCTAGACGATGTTTTGATCTCATCAGGATTCAGATATTGGCTGAACTGACTGATGGTGACGATCAGAGGATCACGTTTCACACATTTAGTCCTTTTATTTCACTGATTCATATGAAATATTAATATTGAATTATTGAAAGTTTTAGACGCTAACATGCAGTCAGTCAGCTGGTCGGCCAGGCGGTCGACCAGGCGGGCGGGCGGTCGGTCGGTGTATCTGGAGCTGTGCTCCTCATCAGAGGGGGTGTGATGGTGCGAACACCTACGCAGCTCTGTGTGTCTTTGCTCGGGGTGTGAAAACGCTTGCAGGGCTGTAGGAGGAGAAGCTTTCCGTCACCATGGCAACCAGCCTTAATTACAGCTAACTATAGACGCAGCAGAGGGAGCAATGAGAGTAATTAATTAGAAACCATGAGATGAAGGCAGCGATACTACGCTGCTGACCTCACAGGATCATCTCAGAATGAGCAGAGAAAAGACGTCCCCGCTGGACGGGATTCAATCTGAAGATGAGGAGCGGCTCCCACCAACATCCTTTAAAAACCAGAATCAAACTGGATCCACTTGGTTCATTTCTAACCAATCAGCGGATCGATCATCCAACCAGATAACAGAGACCTGCAGGTGTTAACGACGCAGAACGTCCTTATAGGACATCTGCAGAACGTCCTTATAGGACATCTGCAGAACGTCCTTATAGGACATCTGCAGAACGTCCTTATAGGACATCTGCAGAACATCCTTATAGGACATCTGCAGAACGTCCATATAGGACATCTGGAGAACATCTTCTACATGTTCTCAGTGATGCATTGTCGATGCAGATAGTTCTAAATTCAAAGCTCCCTTTTTATCGTCAAACACAGAAAAAAGTTTCCTAGACCCGTTAAATGTGCCCTTCATGTTGATGATGTCAGAACGGATCAGAACCAATCAGCAGATTATTAGCTTCTGTTGTTTCTGTGCAGCGGACTTTAGATCTGTTTCTGAAGAACAGTTCAGCTTCTGTTCAAACTATGTCCCTGCTGCCTAATTGGCCGCCTGCTGCGGCATCAGCCAATCAGCGAAGGCCGATCTGTTCCAGTCAGATGCGTGATAAAGGTGGTGGTTGAGCGTGACCGCGGTAATAATCCCGGCGCTCCTGCAGACGCTGGGCGGGACTAATATCTGTTTGTCTGTCCCCAGTTCTGGATGTCTGCCCTGGCCATCACCATCCCGGTGCCCTGCGGAGCCTTCATGCCTGTGTTCGTTATCGGTAAGCAGTAAAATCCACTTATGGACGAGTCATCAGAGCAGGCTGGACTGACCTTTAGGAAACACCTCATCATAGACAGGAAGGGGAGGGGCTTCTCCTGATCAATGACATCATCTTTGGCTCAGACTGAATCCTCTGTGCAGCATGGAGGTGGGCTGGTCATGGTGTGGCGATGCAGAGGCATCCCGATCCCTGGATGCTTTAGGAAAATGTTGAAATAATCCAAGCTGACTGGAAGACTCCATCAGATCGTTTCTAAGAAATGAATCCTCTAACCTGCGTCTGTGTGGCCGCTGTAGGAGCAGCCTTTGGCCGCCTGGTTGGAGAGAGCATGGCCGCCTGGTTCCCAGATGGCATCCACTCGGACGGCTCCATCTACCCCATCGTGCCAGGAGGATACGCCGTTGTGGGTACGTTCTGCTCTCCCTATTCCTAGCTTTCACCTCTAACCCAGAATCCAACCTTTCTGGGGTTCCAGAACCGCCATGAAATGGAAAAGAAGTTCTCTGTCAGAACCTGATGGTGATGATGATGGTGGTGATGAAGATGATGGTGATGGTGGTGATGGTGATGATGATGGGGATAGTGGTGGTGATGAGGATAATGGTGATGATGAAGATGATGGTGGTGATGGTGATGATGATGATGAAGGTGGTGATGGTGATGATGATGGTGGTGATGATGATGAAGATGATGGTGATGATGATTATGTTGTCTGTGGCTCTCCCCCAGGTGCTGCGGCCATGTCAGGCGCCGTCACCCACACCGTTTCCACGGCGGTCATCGTGTTCGAGCTGACTGGTCAGATCTCCCACATCCTGCCGGTGATGATAGCCGTGATCCTCGCCAACGCCGTGGCTCAGTCTCTGCAGCCGTCGCTCTACGACTCCATCATTCGGATCAAGAAGCTGCCCTACCTCCCAGAGCTGGGCTGGGGTCACCAGGAGTAAGTACCGCCACCACATCACACGCCATGATCCTGCTTTAGGTCTGAGCTGGGTCCCTGAGCAAGACCATTCACCCCACACTGCTCCCCGGGCACCGTACCATGGCAGCCCACTGCTCCCCAAGGGGAGGGGCTAAACAAGAGAAGGGAGAGACGTTCGGCAAAGGTCAACAGGACCGGGATTGGAACCTGCAACAGCCGCTATATGCGCTCTACCTCCACACCACAGCAGCCCAACGATTAGACGGACCGTTGATACTTTCACCTCATGTTCTGGAACCAAGTGACGTTCTGAGGATCTTCTGCCTCCCATCAGTATAAACCTCATTAATATCGGAAACGATCAGAAACGGTTCCGATTAGAAACGGTTCCAATTAGAAACGGTTCCAATTAGAAACGGTTCCGATTAGAAACGGTTCGGATCAGAAACGGTTCAGATTAGAAACGGTTCCAATTAGAAACGGTTCCAATTAGAAACGGTTCCGATTAGAAACGGTTCCAATTAGAAACGGTTCCAATTAGAAACGGTTCCAATTAGAAACGGTTCCAATTAGAAACGGTTCCGATTAGAAACGGTTCCAATTAGAAACGGTTCCGATTAGAAACGGTTCGGATCAGAAACGGTTCAGATTAGAAACGGTTCCAATTAGAAACGGTTCCGATTAGAAACGGTTTAGATTAGAAACGGTTCGGATCAGAAACGGTTCAGATTAGAAACGGTTCCAATTAGAAACGGTTCCGATTAGAAACGGTTCGGATCAGAAAAGGTTCAGATTAGAAACGGTTTAGATTAGAAACGGTTCGGATTAGAAACGGTTCGGATCAGAAACGGTTCAGATTAGAAACGGTTTAGATCAGAAACGGTTCGGATCAGAAACGGTTCAGATTAGAAACGGTTTAGATCAGAAACGGTTCCGATCAGAAACGGTTCAGATTAGAAACGGTTCGGATCAGAAACAGTTCAGATTAGAAACGGTTCCAATTAGAAACGGTTCCGATTAGAAACGGTTCGGATCAGAAAAGGTTCAGATTAGAAACGGTTCGGATTAGAAACGGTTCGGATTAGAAACGGTTCGGATCAGAAACGGTTCCAATTAGAAACGGTTCGGATTAGAAACGGTTCGGATCAGAAACGGTTCAGATTAGAAACGGTTTAGATCAGAAACGGTTCGGATCAGAAACGGTTCAGATTAGAAACGGTTTAGATCAGAAACGGTTCCGATCAGAAACGGTTCGGATTAGAAACGGTTCGGATCAGAAACAGTTCAGATTAGAAACGGTTCCAATTAGAAACGGTTCCGATTAGAAACGGTTCGGATCAGAAAAGGTTCAGATTAGAAACGGTTCGGATTAGAAACGGTTCCAATTAGAAACGGTTTAGATTAGAAACGGTTCGGATCAGAAACGGTTCAGATTAGAAACGGTTCCGATTAGAAACGGTTCGGATCAGAAAAGGTTCAGATTAGAAACGGTTTAGATTAGAAACGGTTCGGATTAGAAACGGTTCGGATCAGAAACGGTTCAGATTAGAAACGGTTTAGATCAGAAACGGTTCGGATCAGAAACGGTTCAGATCAGAAACGGTTTAGATCAGAAACGGTTCCGATCAGAAACGGTTCAGATTAGAAACGGTTCGGATCAGAAACAGTTCAGATTAGAAACGGTTCCAATTAGAAACGGTTCCGATTAGAAACGGTTCGGATCAGAAAAGGTTCAGATTAGAAACGGTTTAGATTAGAAACGGTTCGGATTAGAAACGGTTCGGATCAGAAACGGTTCAGATTAGAAACGGTTTAGATCAGAAACGGTTCGGATCAGAAACGGTTCAGATTAGAAACGGTTTAGATCAGAAACGGTTCCGATCAGAAATGGTTCCGATCAGAAACGGTTCAGATTAGAAACGGTTCGGATCAGAAACAGTTCAGATTAGAAACGGTTCCAATTAGAAACGGTTCCGATTAGAAACGGTTCGGATCAGAAAAGGTTCAGATTAGAAACGGTTTAGATTAGAAACGGTTCGGATTAGAAACGGTTCGGATCAGAAACGGTTCAGATTAGAAACGGTTTAGATCAGAAACGGTTCGGATCAGAAACGGTTCAGATTAGAAACGGTTTAGATCAGAAACGGTTCCGATCAGAAATGGTTCAGATTAGAAACGGTTAGGATTAGAAACGGTTCGGATTAGAAACGGTCTATTCCCACATGTTGGTCTCATTCAGCATCATTGGGCTTCTGCAGTTCCTACCTGATGCTGCTCCTCCATCAGCTTCCTCCGTCTAACCATGAAGGTCCAGGTTTCCTCCATGCCTTCAGGGAAAGATGCTGCGTGGGATCAGAGGAAAGGATCGGGATCACTCCCTCTGATCCGAATGTTAATTTAAATGCAGAAAGGAGGAAGCAAAGAAGCTTTTAGAGCTTTTTTTTTAATGGGATTAAATCCGTCTGCTTTTATTCCGAGCACAGAAAAATGAGATTTATAAAATTAGCCTAAATCTTTGGAACATGTTTGATAAAAAAAAAAGCGTTCCTGTTTATTGACCATTCGACTTAGATTAAAGACCAGGATCAGTAAAACCTGAATAGTAAACCTGGTTCCTCATTAAGGAGAACATCATTGTTTCCTGAACCACCAAACGAAGCGTCTAATCCAGGCCTTCCTGTTAGTTACTGAAACATGACGCCATTAGGACGCTCTGAAGGTAACGATGCAGTGGCTCAGACGTTTGAAGGCCCCCAGGGTCCCAGGCGGCTGTGAACATGGAGGAATCCTGGGTTTGTTCCTGCAGCCGTCTGACCTGCTGAAGCTCATCGATGTCCGTTCAGAGCCCGCTTCCTCCGAGGAAGGCAACCATCGGGGTTCTGGATCCCGCTGTGAGCGTTTCCTCCACGCTCTCCATCCTCCTGATGTCAGTGGAAGAGGAGAAACGTTTCATGTTTCATCGTTTTAACACTCGTCTTCCTCCATGCTTGTCTCAGGAGGTATAACATCCGTGTGGAGGACATCATGGTACGGGATGTGCGCTACATCACGCTGGACTGCTGCTACAGAGACCTGCACAATGTCCTGATGTCGGGTCACCTGAAGACTCTGGCCCTGGTGGAATCTGCTGGTGAGACCTGAGCTCCATCCGTAGTGGGCGGAGCCTCCTCCATCATCCGTTGGTTTGAACAGGTTTAGGTTTATCCAGCGACCAGCGGGTCTGATCTCCCTGAAGCTGTCTGGATTCTGGCTCCTCCCACCTTCTTCATTCCTCCTGCTTACTGCCAACCTTCATGTTTCCCAGGATTTATCCTTGTTGTCGGAAAGATTGATAAATATTCTGGTTTATGTCGTCCCGGCTAATTAAATAACAGGATATCTATTTTATATTTATATATATACAGCAAATGACAAGATTGATCAAAATGAACATTTTTCTGGTTGAAAGATTTTTATTGGGGGGTGGGGGGAGGGGGTTGGAACCTCTCGGCGGTCCGTTCTCTCTCTCCGGTTCAATTCTATTCAGTTTATTTCTATAGCTCCAATTCACATCATGTCATCTCAGGTCACTTTCCAGTTCAACCAGATCATAGTCAGATTGATTCAAAGTTTTCTATCTAAGGAAAACCAGCTGATTGCATCGACTCATTGACTCTTCAGCAATCCCTCACACTAAGCATGCTTGTAGCGACAGTGGAGAGGAAAAACTCCCTTTGAACAGGAAGAAACCTCCAGCAGAACCAGGCTCAGTGTGAGCGGCCATCTGCTGAGGCCCACTGGGGTTCAAGGAGACAGAAGCAGACATAGAAAAAGAAGCATAGATACAAAAGGCAACTGTCAACCAGCTCCACAGGCGGCCCCGTCCAGGAAACACACAGCCAGGCAGACGAGCTCCGAGCCAGCTCCCATGTCAGAGGATGACGAGCGCACATCCAGTTAGTCACAGTCAGAGAAACAGGACTACACTGGAAAACAGGCCAAGCTCCAACATCTAGAAACAAAGGTGTTGATGGCAGCAGCACAGCTGATATTTCTCTCCAGGATGGAGTCACAGCCAAACAGGAACAGACCAGATGAAGCTACTATGAGAAAAAGCAGAGAGAGCAGAACGTTAGAGATTGAACTAACAGATTCTGCAGAGTGGGAGAATAGAGATAGAATGAAGCAGAATGATGAAAAAGGGGTCCCTATGTCCTCCAGCAGTCTAAGCCTATAGCAGCAGAACTATAGAGATAGATCAGGATAACCTGAGCCACTCTAACTAGAAGCTTTATCAAAAAGGAAAGTTTTAAGCCTAGCCTTAAAAGTAGACAGGGTGTCTGCCTCACGGACTAAAACTGGTAGTTGGTTCCACAGGAGAGGAGCCTGAGAACTAAAAGATCTGCCTCCCATTCTACTTTTAGAAGTTCTAGGAACCACTAGTAAACCTGCAGATTGAGAGCGAAGTGCTCTGTTAGGAACATAAGGAACAATCAGATCTCTGATATCAGATGGAGCTTGGCCATTTAAGGCTTTATATGTGAGAAGGAGGATTTTAAATTCTATTCTGGATTTAACAGGAAGCCAATGAAGAGAAGCCAGGATAGGCGAGATATGATCTCTCTTTTTCATTTTCATTAGAACTCTGGCTGCAGCATTTTGGATCAGCTGAAGGCTTTTAACTACAGTTTGTGGACTTCCTGATAGTAAAGAATTACAATAGTCCAGCCTTGAAGTAACAAATGCATGGACTAGTTTCTCAGCATCACCCCTGGACAGGAGATTGCTCATTTTTGCAATATTCCTCAGATGAAAGAAGGAAATTCTAGAAACCTCTTTGATCTGGGATTTAAATGACAGGTCCTGATCAAAAATAACACCAAGATTTTTTACTTTATTATCTGAAATCAGTTTAATCCCATCCAAATGAAGTGACTGGCTAATCAGCTTCTTTTTCAGAGACTCTGGTCCAAAGACTATAACTTCTGTTTTATCTGCATTCAGAAGCAGAAAGTTAAGAGTCATCCAGGTTTTTCTGTCTTCAGACATGCCTGTAATCTATGTAATGGGTTAGCTTCATCTGGATTATAGACAGATATAGCTGGGTATCATCAGCATAGCTGCTCGGCGGTCCGTTCGCACTCTGGTCCTAAACTCAGGCTTTCGTCATCAGAGTGACTTCTGGGTAGAAACCTCCTTCCTGCCTCAGCTTGCTGATGGCGGCAGTCTCCTGACTGAAGCGTAGATTTTAGCGCGGTGCAGGAACAGTTAACCAAACGCCTCCTCTGAAGGCGCGGTCACACAGCTAACCCAAACCTCAGCTTAGTCCTAAACCTTGCCCTTTGACCCCAGAAGGGAACCTTTCCTCATGTTGTTGTTCCACACGATGTAGCATAATCCTGGGAATTCATGGCCGCACTAATCTGTGGACGTCTGCTGCATTCCAGGCTCTAAACTCTGTCTGTTTGCCTCCAGCTCTTCTCTTTCTCCACTTTCTCTCTTCATTTGTTGCACTTTTCTCCACCCCCCCATCCATCTTCCTTTTTCCGTGTGTCCTGAACTCACCTCAGACGTCCCTGTCCCCCTCCAGAGTCCATGATCCTGCTGGGCTCAATAGCGCGCGCTCAGCTGCAGTTGCTGCTCTCCCAGCAGCTGAGTCGCAGCAGACGCATGGAGTTCATCAGGGAGCGCGCTGCAGCCGAGAAGAAACACCTGTCAGTGGAGTCCATCAACGACAGCGAGGACGGCCGCCAGCGGGCCAGCCAGGAAGTCCGCTTCCAGGTGAGTTTTCCTCAGGAGGCCAGCAGAGGATCACTGACGGGTCGGAGGCGGTCGCTGTTTCTTCGTCGTCTAACAGCGTCTGCTAGATATTAAATCATTTGTCACGTTGCTACCAAAATATTCAAGATTTTCCTCAGAACTATATTCATTAAACCAACTGTTGGTAAAAATGGCTCTTTGTGGAAATCTGATGTATTTTGAATACAGCCCATTTTATTTCGACGTCCCTAATTAAAATACGGATCAATAGTTGCATCTGTGTGTGATTTGGTTCATGAATCCAGCTCATGAGTAGAGAGAAGCATCATGAAGACCGAGGAACAGCAGACGGATCAGGGAAGATTAGGGCAGAGGTCGAAGTTGTGGCAACAGCCTAAACTATGAGTCCAGACTAGCAGAACCTGGATCTCAGCAGAGCTCAGAGTGGAGGTTAGGTCATTCTGGCTGTGGTCTGTGGGTTAGGGTTAGTCGTCTCTGGGTTGGGGTTAGTCGTCTCTGGGTTGGGGTTAGTCGTCTCAGGGCTAGGGTTAGTCGTCTCTGGGTTGGGGTTAGTCGTCTCTGGGTTGGGGTTAGTCGTCTCAGGGTTGGGGTTAGTCGTCTCTGGGTTGGGGTTAGTCGTCTCAGGGCTAGGGTTAGTCGTCTCTGGGTTGGGGTTAGTCGTCTCTGGGTTGGGGTTAGTCGTCTCAGGGTTGGGGTTAGTCGTCTCTGGGTTGGGGTTAGTCGTCTCAGGGTTGGGGTTAGTCATCTCTGGGTTGGGGTTAGTCGTCTCTGGGTTAGGGTTAGTCGTCTCAGGGTTAGGGTTAGTCGTCTCTGGGTTGGGGTTAGTCGTCTCAGGGTTGGGGTTAGTCGTCTCAGGGTTGGGGTTAGTCGTCTCTGGGTTGGGGTTAGTCGTCTCAGGGTTAGGGTTAGTCGTCTCAGGGTTGGGGTTAGTCGTCTCAGTGTTAGGGTTAGTCGTCTCAGGGTTGGGGTTAGTCGTCTCAGGGTTGGGGTTAGTCGTCTCAGGGTTAGGGTTAGTCGTCTCTGGGTTAGGGTTAGTCGTCTCAGGGTTAGGGTTAGTCGTCTCAGGGTTGGGGTTAGTCGTCTCAGTGTTAGGGTTAGTCGTCTCTGGGTTGGGGTTAGTCGTCTCTGGGTTGGGGTTAGTCGTCTCAGGGTTAGGGTTAGTCGTCTCTGGGTTAGGGTTAGTCGTCTCAGGGTTAGGGTTAGTCGTCTCTGGGTTGGGGTTAGTCGTCTCAGGGTTGGGGTTAGTCGTCTCTGGGTTGGGGTTAGTCGTCTCTGGGTTGGGGTTAGTCGTCTCTGGGTTGGGGTTAGTCGTCTCAGGGTTAGTCGTCGCTGGGTTAGGATTAGTCGTCGCTGGGTTAGGGTTAGTCGTCTCTGGGTTGGGGTTAGTCGTCTCTGGGTTGGGGTTAGTCGTCTCAGGGTTGGGGTTAGTCGTCTCAGGGTTAGGGTTAGTCGTCTCAGGGTTGGGGTTAGTCGTCGCTGGGTTAGGGTTAGTCGTCTCAGGGTTAGGGTTAGTCGTCTCAGGGTTAGTCGTCGCTGGGTTAGGATTAGTCGTCGCTGGGTTAGGGTTAGTCGTCTCTGGGTTGGGGTTAGTCGTCTCTGGGTTGGGGTTAGTCGTCTCTGGGTTAGGGTTAGTCGTCTCTGGGTTAGGGTTAGTCGTCTCAGGGTTAGGGTTAGTCGTCTCAGGGTTAGTCGTCGCTGGGTTAGGATTAGTCGTCGCTGGGTTAGGGTTAGTCGTCTCTGGGTTGGGGTTAGTCGTCTCTGGGTTGGGGTTAGTCGTCGCTGGGTTAGGATTAGTCGTCGCTGGGTCAGGGTTAGTCGTCTCTGGGTTAGGGTTAGTCGTCTCTGGGTTGGGGTTAGTCGTCTCAGGGTTGGGGTTAGTCGTCTCAGGGTTAGGGTTAGTCGTCTCTGGGTTGGGGTTAGTCGTCTCAGGGTTGGGGTTAGTCGTCGCTGGGTTAGGGTTAGTCGTCTCAGGGTTGGGGTTAGTCGTCTCAGGGTTGGGGTTAGTCGTCTCTGGGTTGGGGTTAGTCGTCTCTGGGTTGGGGTTAGTCGTCTCAGGGTTAGGGTTAGTCGTCTCTGGGTTGGGGTTAGTCGTCTCAGGGTTGGGGTTAGTCGTCTCAGGGTTAGGGTTAGTCGTCTCTGGGTTGGGGTTAGTCGTCTCTGGGTTGGGGTTAGTCGTCTCTGGGTTGGGGTTAGTCGTCTCTGGGTTGGGGTTAGTCGTTTCAGGGTTAGTCGTCGCTGGGTTAGGGTTAGTCGTCGCTGGGTTAGGGTTAGTCGTCTCTGGGTTGGGGTTAGTCGTCTCTGGGTTGGGGTTAGTCGTCTCTGGGTTGGGGTTAGTCGTCTCTGGGTTAGGGTTAGTCGTCTCAGGGTTAGGGTTAGTCGTCTCTGGGTTAGGGTTATCAGTTTTTGCTTTTTTCTTTTCCAGTTCCTTTTAGCTCTTTGAATTGTCTTCCTGCTGGATTGTGTCCTAGAAATAAACCTGCCTGGTTTGTTTGGACGTAGATCTCCACGGAGGAGTCCTCCACCAGTCCCACCCGCCCAGGCAGCCAGAAGCCCCTTAAACCGGCCCTGAAAAGACCGTCTGTGGTGGAGAGACCCACTGACCTTCCCTCCAGTAAGTAACCTTGGAACTGGAAGATTCCTGCAGCTTTAGCAGCTCAGCTTTAGCACAGCAGCTTTAGCATCTCAACTTTAGCACAGCATCTTTAGCATCTCAGCTTTAGCACAGCAGCTTTAGCATCTCAACTTTAGCACAGCATCTTTAGCATCTCAGCTTTAGCACAGCATCTTTAGCATCTCAGCTTTAGCACAGCAGCTTTAGCAGCTCAGCTTTAGCACAGCAGCTTTAGCACAGCAGCTTTAGCAGCTCAGCTTTAGCACAGCATCTTTAGCATCTCAGCTTTAGCACAGCATCTTTAGCATCTCACCTTTAGCACAGCAGCTTTAGCAGCTCAGCTTTAGCACAGCAGCTTTAGCATAGCAGCTTTAGCATCTCAGCTTTAGCACAGCATCTTTAGCATCTCAGCTTTAGCAGCTCAGCTTTAGCAGCTCAGCTTTAGCACAGCAGCTTTAGCAGCTCAGCTTTTGCAGCTGAGCTTTAGCATCTCAACTTTAGCACAGCATCTTTAGCATCTCAGCTTTAGCACAGCAGCTTTAGCATCTCAACTTTAGCACAGCATCTTTAGCATCTCAGCTTTAGCACAGCATCTTTAGCATCTCAGCTTTAGTACAGCAGCTTTAGCAGCTCAGCTTTAGCACAGCAGCTTTAGCACAGCAGCTTTAGCAGCTCAGCTTTAGCACAGCATCTTTAGCATCTCAGCTTTAGCACAGCATCTTTAGCATCTCAGCTTTAGCACAGCAGCTTTAGCAGCTCAGCTTTAGCACAGCAGCTTTAGCATAGCAGCTTTAGCATCTCAGCTTTAGCACAGCATCTTTAGCATCTCAGCTTTAGCAGCTCAGCTTTAGCAGCTCAGCTTTAGCACAGCAGCTTTAGCAGCTCAGCTTTTGCAGCTGAGCTTTAGCATCTCAGCTTTAGCAGCTCAGCTTTAGCACAGCAGCTTTTATGGGGTCCTGATGAAGAGTTTCTCCTTCACATAACAGGAGGAAGGTCCCTCCATCCAGACCAGCTGGAGACTTGCCATGTCGGAGCAGGAGCAGGTCTCCATGCTGGTCTATGACCATTAAGCTAAGCAATGAGTTTAATTCCTGTCTTCCTCCTGCAGGCCCACAGGACCATTCCGGCACCTTGAAGAGCCTGTTCTGCTCCAGTCCAGACATAGAAGCTCTAGAGGTGAGATAACACTCATGCTGTGCTCCCACACAGTCTCTCTCTCACTTACAGCCCCCCCCCCCCCCCCCCCCCCCCACATACACACACTCCTAATCTCAGCTCTACTGCGTCTGCAGCCTCCTGTTAACAGACTGTTTCTCTATGCTGAGTTTCTGTCACCATGGAGACCAGATGTTTCCATCTGTACTCATGTCTTCTCAAAGTCAAGCTGACATTTAGGTTGTTAACTCTGTATGCTTGTCCTCCGTCACCCTGGAAGAAAAACAACAACTTGGAGAGTCCCGTGTCTCCTGAGCAAAGGAGGCCGTCCAAACGGGTCCGGATATCCGTCGTGGTAAGAGCCACCGATCCGGGCTCCCAGCATGCCTGGAACCGCTCGCTGCACCGACCGACCGACCGAGCAGCCGCCAAACAGCCATTCCATTTCAGCGCCGATGGGCCGCCATCTGGGCTGAGCTCAGCCGACGCTGCCCCATCGAGTTTAGATCATTCTGTCTGATCATACCTGTAACCTGACCTCTGACCTTCACTGCTTTAACTGTTCACCTGATCCATCCAGTTTAACCAGTTGGTCAGGAACCATCACACTGACAAACACTTGACCAATAAGAGACCACTGCTGTCCAAACATCGTCTTAGACGCACAGAAGTTGGAGGCATTTTGTTTTTCATCTTGTAAGGTGAACTGCACTAAAAATGAGAAAAAAAAGATTCCTTCATTTAAAATGTTTTGGCACATTTTATTATTGTTTTTCATGATTTTATAAACATTTTATATTTCAGTCATATTTTACCAACATTTATTAAAAGCATTGCTCATATTTAAGTTAATTGATCTTCATTTCTGCATAACGACGCTTCAGCATCGCCGCTGCTTCGCTTCACAGAAACATCCCCACAAAAATATGAAGCTTTTCAAAACAAACACCTAAACAGCTGAGCTAAGAGCTTTATGGAGCCATTTTGGCTGAATTGAAAGCCGTGTTTAAAATCTGCTGAGACGTTCTGAGCCGTGAAAAATAAAAGCCTCCATCTTTTAAGGTCGGTTCAGCTGAACCAGAGGAAACGTGGCGCAGTTCTGGTCAAGTGTTTCTCATCATGTTCAGCATGCAGCCGTTCATGGAGCGGGTCACCCGAGGTGTCCAATCAGTGACTGCCTCCCAGAGCAGGCCCCGCCCTGTTTCTGGAGTGACCCCCCCCCCAGAAATCTGTGGTGACTGATTGAAAATGTGCCGCCCATGTCGCTCCCTGATCCGTACCATCAGCTCGTTTATGCAAACAGATTTTATCCCGGTCGCCATGATGTCACTATAGTCCTAACATTCATTATTTCTACCCTTTACTCTCTAAAGAATGCTAATACGCATCTTTAAAACACGTTTTCTGACTTTTCAGAGACAATTTTGATGCTTTTTCCATTTTCTCCGTTAAACATCATCATGTTGATCAGAGCAGTAAATCTGATTAAACCACGTTTATCTGCATTTAGTCGTTTCTTTCTTTAGATTAGGCCTATATAGCATAACGTTAGCACGAAAGGAAAACATAAAACTCAGACTAGATTTATGTCTAAATCCAGGCTGATCAAGTTAGCTCCTGGAAGTAGCGTAGCATCCCATTTCCTGTGCAGATCAGGAACAGAGGATAAAACAGAAATTATTTTAATGCATTTATTTTCTCAGGATTATTAACCTTTAACACATATTTTATGACGCTGACTAGTTTTAGGGAAGGAAAACCGTCATTCACTGTGAAATGAAGGCGACCCGGATGTTTACCTGGTTGGTAGCTGATGGGACGGATCCGGCAGACACACTGATTGAACAGAGGCGGCCATGTTGGGTCCCGTCCTGCCGTGCATGTAGCTTTCCATCACAGCAGGGATGTTCACCATGATCTGGGCCGCCTCAAATCAAATGACCTTCCCCCTGCAAAGCGTCCCATTCTGGGATCGGCGGCGTCGTGCGACGACCGGAGCGCCGAGCTGAAATGATTCCACCTGATCAGGGGGCTTTGCATGAATGTCTGCTAAATTCATGGCCTGGAATCCAGCAGGGTTTCTCTGCACGTAGCGCCTGAAGGCGTCCACAGGTCCTGCTGCTCAGCATCTCATGTCCTCTCATTCACCAGGAGCCCCCCCCCAGCCTGAAGGGTTTCTTCTTGGTGAGCACACTTCCTTCTCCTGTTTGGGTCCAGTGTTGAAGCAGAGGCAGGTTGTTTACAGTGGGGGGGGGGGGGGGGGGGGTTGCTTCATAAACTCAGTAACTTTGCTCTCCTACCTGACCAGAGGTATGATATCCACCAATAAGCACCCTGGCGAAGCTCACCACCGTCCCTCCTGCCGCTCCCTGATTGGTTCCTTGATGTCTTTGTCCTTCCTGCTCCGTCACCAGCCCCTCCCCTCCCTAAGTAGTGATGCAGGAGCCGGATGCAGACGGACGCTGCCTCCTTCCTCGCTCCTCCCATTATTCTCCTGCTTCCCTGATAATTTATTTAGAATCACCTCTGGGCTTTTATTTTTGTTTTTGTTCATTTTTCCTTTTTCTGACACTTCACAACTTTCAACATCCGTCTTTGTGTTGAGTTTGCGTGAATTATTGGTGAATATATCAGCTCTTTTTTCTTGTTGAAGTCAAGAATTAATGAAGCTTTAAAACAGACCTCTGTACCACAGCAGCAGTGGAGCAGGGGGGCAGCAGAGCAGGGGGTAAGGGTGCAGTGGGGCAGCAGAGCAGGGGGGCAACAGAGCAGGGGGGCAGTGGAGCAGGGGGGCATTAGAGCAGGAGGGCAACGGAGCAGGGGGGCAGTGGAGAAGGGGAGCAGGGGGGCAGTGGTGTGACCCATGTATGGAGGCTCTGGTCCTCAATGTGGCGGTCACAGGTTCCAGCCTGGCGTGGTGACCTTTGCCCCCTGTCTCACCCCTTTGCTGCTCACATTTCCTGTCTACCTGCTTTCAAAGATAAAGGCTGGAGCCTGAAAACAATCTATAAAAGTTTCAGACTTTAAGTAAGAGAAATAAACTCCATTAGTTTTTATTTCTTGTTCTGATCGGTTGCATTCAGGCCCGATGAAAGCGTTTTTTGGAAAAACACAGAAGTAGATCATATAGAGATTGATGTTTTTAAACTTTTCTTCTCTGCTTGATGGATTCTTTAAACCAAACCCAGAGCCAGAAGTTGTCCTCAGAAGATGCTGGAAGGACTCTGGAAAGGCGTGAAATGGATCCAACCAGCGGCTCAAACAGAACTAAACCAGAAGCTTATTTAAATGGGAATATGGGTTTCCATACCCGCTTCCTCCCACAGACAGAGATGCTGAACTATGTCCCATCTGAGCTGATTCCATCCGGCTCCATGTTTGGGCTTCCAGCTCCTTTCCTGCTCCGCTCCATCTCACAGTTTCATCTGTTCTGCTTGATTCCAGCCGCTGCGTTCGATCAGAACGGGCGTTGGATCCGTCCTTTGCTCAGTCTGGATGTCGGAGCGCTGCAGCTCAGGTCTGGTTGGGTGGAGAGTAAAAAGGCACCAACACTAAAAGAAGCCAGAGATCTCAGGACTTTGCTTCTCCGAGACTAAACGGACTTGTTCTGGGCCCCGAGTCCAGGCTGCCTTTGCTGTGGGGGTCTGATGCAGCCCAGAACCCTAAAGGAGCCTCTCTGAGTCAGGGCGCCCTGTGGCAGCAGGATGGTGGAACCATCAGAGGCAGCCTGTGAATCCAGTTCAGGGCTCCTGCACCTTCATTCCTCTCAGCTGGTTCCTCTGCAGAGCCGCTTTAACAGGAACTCATTCTAAGCTTTTGGCTCCATCCAGCTGATAAGGAGAACAATCAGAGCCGCTGGAGTCGTTTCAGATAAAGAGAGAGGAGGAGAAAGAGGAGGAATTCTAGATCTTCTTCATGTAGAACCTTCATCTCTTCCATTCCCCCTTCTAAAACCTGCTGTAGGTTTTGACCTGCTGTGGTTCAAACAATGACAGACTCATCTCATAATCATCCGTTACCATGCCAACCCATACATGACATCCCCCGCTGTCTCAGTTGTCCTCTAACGGCTCCTTCAGTCCCTCATCCAGTCCTGCCGGAGTTTTCTGGAGCAGCTTAGTCCAGATGTTCAGCTGTAGATGGTAGAGATGTTCCAGACCATCCGTTCCTCTGAGATTTACCTTCTGCTGTTTCTAATCCACAGGAAGATGGAGACGTGGAAGACGACATGACGCTTAGAGAGGTAAGCCCCGCCTTTGATACGTCCCGCCAATAGGAGCGCATGCTCATTATGATGCAATCATGGTAATGATTTAGGATCTTCAGGGTCTGCAGAGCTGAGCTCTGGGGGCCCCTCTGAGGGAACTCCTTCCATACTGTCGGAGAGGAGCGGTCCGAGCCACAGGCTCGGCGGGGGCCGGGGCTCCCGGGCTGGGCGGGGGCCGGGGCTCCCGGGTTCGGCGGGGGCCGGGGCTCCCGGGTTCGGCGGGGGCCGGGGCTCCCGGGCTGGGCGGGGGCCGGGGCTCCCGGGTTCGGCGGGGGCCGGGGCTCCCGGGCTGGGCGGGGGCCGGGGCTCCCGGGTTCGGCGGGGGTCGGGGCTCCCGGGCTTGGCTCAGACCACGCCGAGCCTGCGGCTCGGACCGCTCCGCAGCTGTTTGATCACAGTTCAGTTCACTGCATAGATCCAGATCAATCAGATCATCCCTCAACTTAAAGGGCGACTCTAGATCCACTTCCTGTCTCACTATAGTCCCCTTTGATTTAATGATGGGATCTTTGGAAAGTTTGATGCTTTAGTCATGGAGACCTCATCTGCTACCAGACGCTGAACAAACTTCACTTCCTGTTTTCTACGTTTCTCACTAACCGCTTTCATGTCGGGTAGTTTAGTTGTTTTAGTTAACTGAGACCAAACTAACTCTCCTTCTGCTCAACACTTCTGTTTTTATTCACTACCTTCTAATCTGTGTGGTTTGCAGATCGCAGAGTGGGAGGAGAAACAACTCGATGAGCAGGTGGACTTCAGCACCTGCAAGATTGACCCCGCCCCTTTCCAGCTGGTGGAGCGCACGTCGCTGCATAAGGTCTGTTTGGAGCTGAAGCTGCAGACGTCTTCCTCATGTTGCTTTCTCAGGTGGAGGCAGAAGGACGGATGGTTTTCCTCATGGAGATCTTTAAATGATGCTGTGCATTCAGGGGTCAGAATGGCCTAGTCAAAGTCCAAGACTTTATCAAACAGAGTCTGTGTTCAGATATTCTCCATCCAGAGCAGCTAGAAGTGTCTCTATTAAAGTTTTTAATATTTCTCTTCTTTCCATCTTCCATGAACAATCAGCCTCCACCTGCTCCACCTGATATCATTTATTCTCTTCAGGCTGTTTAAAGGAGGCTAAAGGAGGCTCCTGTTGGAAGGAAGAGCCTCTCTGGGGTGGAGTGTCTCACTCCTCTCCTCCTGCTTGCTCCTCCTGCAGGAGGAGCAAGCAGGAGGAGAGGAGGAGTGAGAGCAGCAGATGAGGAAGTAGTTGAACATTCAGTCCAGCTGCACCTGAAATATTTTACAGATTTAATGTGAAGAAAACCTCGGTGAGGCCTTTTCCTCCCAGCACCATGTGACTGGATCCAGTAATAATAATAATCAGTCTGATGATGATGATGAGAAGGAGGCGGAGCTTCATCAGACAAACATTCAGCCTCACGGCGTTCTTCTTCTGTAGCTCCTGTGGTGTTTTTCATTAAGCTCTGGTTCAGCCCCAAACCGCCCCCTCCTCCCCCAGACTAGCTGGTTGTTAGCAGGTTAGTAGCTGGTCGCTAGCCGGATGCTAGCCAGATGCTAGCAGCTTTGGTTTGGACTTAATGGAATCAGATCTGGAACCTTCTCTCCACCCACTGATGGTTGAGGTGGGAACCAACTTAGCAGACAAACTTTCTGCGTGAATCTTCTGACTAGCAGCAAAGTGTTTCAGCCAGCTGAGCATCAGTGCAGAGCAGCTGCAGCAGCGTTGTCTGGGTCACCTCCTTCATGCATCAGTTTGCTGCTAACCGCCTCTGAGCAGCAGAACATTCTGAATGTTTCCCAGCGGCGTAAATACGAACCTCAGACATCTCTAACAGGCGCCTTGCTTCCAGGACTCAGATGCTCCCTCTGGTGGCTGCTAAGCTAGCGGAGCATGGCTAACTTCTGCTAAAGAAGATGCTAACTCTGTGTTTCCCTCCTTGTAGACTCACACCATCTTCTCCTTGCTGGGCCTTGACCACGCCTACGTCACCAGCATCGGGCGCCTCATCGGGGTGGTTTCCCTGAAGGAGGTAGGGCTCCTCTCTGCTCTCATTATGCAGCATTTCATGGTTGATCATTAGAATCTATTCCTGCTCATGTCTGTGGGTCGTGCAGCGCTGCAGCAGCCCCTCCTCTAGTCATTGTAAACGCTTTGGTCAATGGTGCCTCCATAGTCACAGTGCCTCCATGGTCAATGGTGCCTCCATGGTCAATGGTGCCTCCATAGTCACAGTGCCTCCATGGTCAATGGTGCCTCCATGGTCAATGGTGCCTCCATGGTCACAGTGCCTCCATGGTCACTGGTGCCTCCATGGTCACGGTGCCTCCATGGTCACAGTGCCTCCATGGTCACTGGTGCCTCCATGGTCAATGGTGCCTCCATGGTCACGGTGCCTCCATGGTCACGGTGCCTCCATGGTCACTGGTGCCTCCATGGTCACTGGTGCCTCCATGGTCAATGGCGCCTCCATGGTCACAGTGCCTCCATGGTCACAGTGCCTCCATGGTCACAGTGCCTCCATGGTCACAGTACCTCCATGGTCAATGGTGCCTCCATGGCCACAGTGCCTCCATGGTCACAGTGCCTCCATGGCCACAGTAACTCCATTGTCAATGGAGCCTCCATGGTCACAGGGCTTCCATGGTCACAGTGCCTCCATGGCCTAAGTGCCTCCATTGTCAATGGAGCCTCCATGGTCACAGGGCTTCCATGGTCACAGTGCCTCCATGGCCTAAGTGCCTCCATGGTCAATGGTGCCTCCATGGTCACAGTGCTTCCATGGTCACAGTGCCTCCATGGTCACAGTGCCTCCATGGTCAATGGTGCCTCCATGGCCACAGTGCCTCCATGGTCACAGGTGCCTCCATGGTCACAGTGCCTCCATGGTCACAGTGCCTCCATGGTCAATGGTGCCTCCATGGCCACAGTGCCTCCATGGCCAATGGTGCCTCCATGGTCAATGGTGCCTCCATGGTCACTGGTGCCTCCATGGTCACAGTGCTTCCATGGTCACAGTTCCTCCATGGTCAATGGTGCCTCCATGGCCACAGTGCCTCCATGGTCACAGGTGCCTCCATGGTCACTGGTGCCTCCATGGTCACAGTGCTTCCATGGTCACAGTGCCTCCATGGTCAATGGTGCCTCCATGGCCACAGTGCCTCCATGGTCAATGGTGCCTCCATGGTCACAGTGCTTCCATGGTCACAGTGCCTCCATGGTCAATGGTGCCTCCATGGCCACAGTGCCTCCATGGTCACAGGTGCCTCCATGGTCACAGTGCCTCCATGGTCAATGGTGCCTCCATGGCCACAGTGCCTCCATGGCCAATGGTGCCTCCATGGTCAATGGTGCCTCCATGGTCACTGGTGCCTCCATGGTCACTGGTGCCTCCATGGTCACTGGTGCCTCCATGGTCAATGGTGCCTCCATGGTCACAGTGCCTCAATGGTCACAGTACCTCCATGGTCAATGGTGCCTCCATGGTCACAGGGCTTCCATGGTCACAGTGCCTCCATGGCCACAGTGCCTCCATGGCCACAGTGCCTCCATGGTCACAGTGCCTCCATGGTCAATGGTGCCTCCATGGCCACAGTGCCTCCATGGCCACAGTGGCTCCATTGTCAATGGTGCCTCCATGGTCACAGGGCTTCCATGGTCACAGTGCCTCCATGGCCACAGTCATTCCATGGTCACAGTGCTTCCATGGTCAGAGTGCCTCCATGGTCAATGGTGCCTCCATGGCCACAGTGCCTCCATGGCCACAGTGCCTCCATGGTCACAGTGCCTCCATGGTCACAGTGCCTCCATGGTCAATGGTGCCTCCATGGTCAATGGTGCCTCCATGGTCACAGTGCCTCCATGGTCACAGTGCCTCCATGGTCAATGGTGCCTCCATGGTCACAGTACCTCCATGGTCAATGGTGCCTCCATGGTCACAGTGCCTCCATGGTCACTGGTGCCTCCATGGTCACAGTGCCTCCATGGTCACAGTGCCTCCATGGTCAATGGTGCCTCCATGGTCACTGGTGCCTCCATGGTCACAGTGCCTCCATGGTCACTGGTGCCTCCATGGTCACAGTGCCTCCATGGTCAATGGTGCCTCCATGGTCACTGGTGCCTCCATGGTCACGGTGCCTCCATGGTCACAGTGCCTCCATGGTCACTGGTGCCTCCATGGTCACTGGTGCCTCCATGGTCAATGGTGCCTCCATGGTCAATGGTGCCTCCATGGTCACAGTGCCTCCATGGTCACAGTGCCTCCATGGTCAATGGTGCCTCCATGGCCACAGTGCCTCCATGGCCACAGTGCCTCCATGGTCAATGGTGCCTCCATGGTCACGGTGCCTCCATGGTCACGGTGCCTCCATGGTCACAGTGCCTCCATGGTCACAGTGCCTCCATGGTCAATGGTGCCTCCATGGTCACTGGTGCCTCCATGGTCACTGGTGCCTCCATGGTCACGGTGCCTCCATGGTCACTGGTGCCTCCATGGTCACTGGTGCCTCCATGGTCAATGGTGCCTCCATGGTCAATGGTGCCTCCATGGTCACAGTGCTTCCATGGTCAATGGTGTCTCCATGGCCACAGTGCCTCCATGGCCACAGTGCCTCCATGGTCAACGGTGCCTCCATGGTCAACGGTGCCTCCATGGTCACAGGTGCCTCCATGGTCAATGGTACCTCCATGGTCAATGATGCCTCCATGGTCATAGTGCCTCCATGGTCACTGGTGCCTCCATGGTCACGGTGCCTCCATGGTCACAGTGCCTCCATGGTCACTGGTGCCTCCATGGTCACAGTGCCTCCATGGTCAATGGTGCCTCCATGGTCACAGTGCCTCCATGGTCACAGTGCCTCCATGGTCAATGGTGCCTCCATGGTCAATGGTGCCTCCATGGTCACACTGCCTCCATGGTCAATGGTGCCTCCATGGCCACAGTGCCTCCATGGCCACAGTGCCTCCATTGTCAATGGTGCCTCCATGGTCAATGGTGCCTCCATGGCCACAGTGCCTCCATGGTCAGGGTGCCTCCATGGTCAATGGTGCCTCCATGGTCAATGGTGCCTCCATGGTCACAGGTGCCTCCATGGTCAATGGTGCCTCCATGGTCAATGATGCCTCCATGGTCACTGGTGCCTCCATGGTCACTGGTGCCTCCATGGTCACGGTGCCTCCATGGTCACAGTGCCTCCATGGTCACTGGTGCCTCCATGGTCACAGTGCCTCCATGGTCAATGGTGCCTCCATGGTCACAGTGCCTCCATGGTCACAGTGCCTCCATGGTCAATGGTGCCTCCATGGTCAATGGTGCCTCCATGGTCACACTGCCTCCATGGTCAATGGTGCCTCCATGGCCACAGTGCCTCCATTGTCAATGGTGCCTCCATGGTCAATGGTGCCTCCATGGCCACAGTGCCTCCATGGCCACAGTGCCTCCATGGCCACTGGTGCCTCCATGGCCACAGTGCCTCCATGGTCAATGGTGCCTCCATGGTCACAGTACCTCCATGGTCAATGGTGTCTCCATGGCCACAGTGCCTCCATGGTCAATGGTGCCTCCATGGCCACAGTGCCTCCATGGTCAATGGTGCCTCCATGGCCACAGTGCCTCCATGGTCACTGGTGCCTCCATGGTAACAGTGCTTCTAAACTCCTGCTCTTTTTCTTTGTAGCTCCGTAAAGCCATCGAGGGCTCAGTGACGGTGAAAGGCGTGAAGGTGCGTCCTCCTCTAGCCAGCTTCAGGGACAGCGGGACCAGCAGCAGCGAGACCGAGGCTACCGAGCTCCACAAGCTGTGGGACCGCCACCGGAGCGTTTCGCTGCCGGGGGACCAAGCCACCTCCGAGTCTGACGAGAAGTCTCCATGATAGGAAGCCGAGGACCAGGGAGGAGGAGGAGGAAGAATGAAGGTCTTTCATCTCTAATGCCACAGACATGCTGAACTCCTCAGGGCGACAATCCTTATTAAAGGCCTTCTCTCCACACTCCTGATCTGCAGCTCCTCCTCCTCCTGCCTCACCAGGGCTTCCTCCAGGAACCTCGTAATGACCCAGCCAGACACTGCCCCAGCTCTCCATTTAGCCTTGGGGTCCCACAGCGTCAAGTGTTTGCCATCGCCAAACCTGGACTTTTTAAAAAGGGAATATTTTTCTAGACTTTTATTTTTATGCTTGTTTATGTTCAGAGTCGGAGCCACAGATCAAGTCTTCCTCCTAAATCCTGACGACTGCAGCGATCCTGTAAGGAATGCCTGAGGAGAGAGGGGATGAGGGGAGGAAGGAGAGAGGGAATGAGGGGAGGAAGGAGAGAGGGAATGAGGGGAGGAAGGAGAGCGTTCAGGAGGTGTAGCTTTATCTCATAGTAGTTTTTTTTTACAGCCTTAGAACAAGTTCAGTCTGTGATCAAACTTCCATGCGTGACGAGGGAAACGTTTCAGTTCCTTCATCCTGACCTGCGGCGGCGAGCAGGCGGGCCTGACGACACCATGAGCTCCTTTACTGTAGCTGTGGGGGATGAGGAGGGCAGGAAGGAGGAAGGCTCCCCCTTCCTGAAACGCTTCCCCCTTCCGAAACGCTCCCCCCTTCCGAAACGCTCCCCCCTCCTGAAACGCTCCGGTCGCCTCCTGAAACGCTCCCCCCTTCCGAAACGCGGCCCCCCTTCCAAAACGCTCCGGTCGCCTCATGAAACGCTCCCCCCTTCCGAAACGCGGCCCCCCTTCCGAAATGCTCCCCCCTCCTGAAACGCTCCGGTTGCCTCCTGAAACGCTCCCCCCTTCCGAAACGCTGCGGTCGCCTCCTGAAACGCTCCCCACTTCCGAAACGCGGCCCCTCTTCTGAAACGCTGCCCCCTTCTGAAACGCTCCCACCTTCCGAAACGCTCCGGTCGCCTCCTGAAACGCTCCCCCCTCCTGAAACGCTCCCCCCTCCTGAAACGCTCCCGTCGCCTCCTGAAACGCTCCCCGCCTCCTGAAACGCTCCCCCCTCCTGAAACGCTCCCCCCTTCCGAAACGCTGCGGTCGCCTCCTGAAACGCTCCCCACTTCCGAAACGCTCCGGTCGCCTCCTGAAACGCTCCCCCCTTCCGAAACGCTGCGGTCGCCTCCTGAAACGCTCCCCACTTCCGAAACGCGGCCCCTCTTCTGAAACGCTGCCCCCTTCTGAAACGCTCCCACCTTCCGAAACGCTCCGGTCGCCTCCTGAAACGCTCCCCCCTCCTGAAACGCTCCCCCCTCCTGAAACGCTCCCGTCGCCTCCTGAAACGCTCCCCCCTCCTGAAACGCTCCCCGCCTCCTGAAACGCTCCCCCCTCCTGAAACGCTCCCCCCTTCCGAAACGCTGCGGTCGCCTCCTGAAACGCTCCCCACTTCCGAAACGCGGCCCCTCTTCTGAAACGCTGCCCCCTTCTGAAACGCTGCCCCCTTCTGAAACGCTCCCACCTTCCGAAACGCTCCGGTCGCCTCCTGAAACGCTCCCCCCTCCTGAAACGCTCCCCCCTCCTGAAACGCTCCCGTCGCCTCCTGAAACGCTCCCCCCTCCTGAAACGCTCCCCGCCTCCTGAAACGCTCCCCGCCTCCTGAAACGCTCCCCCCTCCTGAAACGCTCCCGTCGCCTCCTGAAACGCTCCCCCCTCCTGAAACGCTCCCCCCTCCTGAAACGCCCCCCGCCTCCTGAAACGCTCCGATCGCCTCCTGAAACGCTCCCCGCCTCCTGAAACGTCCCCCGCCTCCTGAAACGCTCCGATCGCCTCCTGAAACGCGGCCCCCCTTCTGAAATGCTCCCCCCTCCTGAAATGCCCCCCCCCCCCTGAAACGCTGGTTTTAAATGGGGATCAGATTAATATATTTAATATCACTCCTGTAATCGTGGTTTAATGTTTTAATCAATCTGCTTCTGATTTGTTTTGTTTTATATTTGTTGACATTTTAATGATTTCGTTGCTCTTTTTGTAAATTTTATTTTCTGTCTGAAACATTTCTACGGTTCAGATGTGTTGTTGTCATGGCGATGAACCAGAACCATGAAGCTCACTTTGAGGGAAGGAGGTCACTCCTCCTCCTCTTCCTCAGGAAGATGAAGCAGAGCCGCTTCTCTCCTGGTGCAGCAACATGGCGGCGGCTCGATGTTCCTGGCAGCGTGCAGCTGTCACCATAGCAACGGCTGCAGTAGAAGTTTCTTTTTACTGATGTGGGTAACTGATTTGTGTAATAACAGTTCATCTCGTTTTCTAGTCCTGCTCTAATCGATGACATGAATGCTAGATAACCTTATTTTTGTAAAGAAAATGAAAAGTGTAAAAATATTTACGTGAATAAGAAGCGGCGGCGGCGGCGGCAGCGGCAGCGGCGAAGTTTCTGATTGAAAGGAGAAGGTTTCCCAGAAGTGACCACTTCCATTTGCACTCCTGCTTTCTGGGAAAGCTTCTCCAGCCTCGTGGACCGCAGCCGCAGCTCCTTCCTCCGTCAGCCATCTTTATCCACGCCTTACAAACTGTCCCTCAGAGGAACATGTGGTCCAAACCTGGGAGGAAAACTAAACCCAGAGCTGCTGTTCAAATGAAAAACTCAAACATGTTTTTTTTTTTTACATTCTGATGAATAAATCTGATTTTAACAAATGATGCATCTGAGCTTCCTGCTGCCTCTGATTCCCCTGCAGCCACAGCTGGAGCACAGCTGGACTCGTGCTGCTGCCCACGCAGCGCTGCACAGCAGCTCACTTCTGCAGCTTATCATCAATATTTCACTGCGTTTCTACTCTAGATCTAAACATCTTCAGCCCTTCTGAGCAGAATATATATCCTGATTGATCTGTTTGGATGAATCTATTCCTGAAACAGGAGCAGCTTGACTCACAATGAAAAATGAACTTTATAGTCGGAGATCATGAAACCTCAGACGGGTCCGTTTCTCCGGTTCCATCCAGCAGAACTGGGCCAGTTTTCCATCAGATTCAGTAAACGATCCAAAGACTCGACTCAGAATGAGAAGGTTGATTTATTTCATTACTATGAATGTAAAATAGTTGGAGAGAAGGAGGAGGATGACGGATTAAATGAATAATCCAACACAGAAAGCTGAAAGACTACCTGTCTCGGTTCTGCTCAGTGGGGGTTTGGGTTTAGACTGATAAGAAGCTAACTGACCTGCAGGGACCACAGGAGGTCTTCCTGCTGAGAAGGTTTCCTCTCAGCAAGTCTGTAAATTCATCCTCAGCGGTTTTCACTGCATCCATGGATTAAAGAGGAGCGACGGTGGAGCAGGAGGAGCAGGAGGAGCAGATCAGATGGTTCTGCAGCCGCTGTGTCCTCCTGCTATCCATCCATCTACATATAAACCAACATGAAATTCCGTGGCTGTGCTGTAGAGGACAGCATCTGGACTCTAAAGATCTATAAGCGCTGCTGAAACAGCCTGATGAGCTCAATATGGTGGTCAGGAGGGCGGGCTGCTGAAGCAGGGAGGAACTGGACCTCCTCCTGCCCGGTTCTGGACGTCTAACCTTCATCTAAAGGTGGATGGGATGTTCTCAGCAGGTCTTTGATTTCACAAAGACCGATTCTTCATTACCTGAAGGAGATGATGGACCACAGTGATCTTCATCAAACTGTTAAACACCAACAGCGTCTTCAGTCAGAGGCTGATCCAGGTCAGCTGCAGACAGACCTCTGCAGGAGATGCTTCCTGCCTCCAGCAGCTGGATGGAGAACGGTCCATGATCTCCAGAAACATTTCATCTCCATCTGGGATTAAAACAGTTTGGCTGCACTTCGTCACGTCTCACTAAACGTATTTCATTTCAGGGCGTCTTTATGTAACAGACGATGTTTTTGTTCCTGAGATGAAACAAAGTCAGCAGGAATAATCGATTGATCATTATTAATCCCTAAAACTAATACTAATTGATTTAATTATTTAGTGTTAATCAGTAAAAAATAAAAACAATAATTTCCGTTGTGATCACTGAGTCTGGGAGCGGCCATTTTTGCCCAAATATAGTAGCCCCTCCCTCCTGCCATCTTCCAGCAGTGACGTCACGGTGCGGTAAGCCTAGCGCCATTCTCCCCGCTTTCCAAGCTAAATCAATGGGAACTACTAGACACATCTGCAATCAACAACAATTATTGAAGATTTCCAGAGGACTTCACCATTGAAATTCACCAGAGCTATAGTGAAACTGACAATGCCCACGTGCATGGCAGCTGGATGCTGGAATACATCGGGTAAAAGTGGAAAAAAAGAGTTATTCCACCTTTCTGATTCCTGATCCTCCACGGACGGGTTGGTCGTTGGATCGCCAACTTGAAGAGGGAGGATTTGCCATCGAACTTCTGGCCAGAGAAAAAACCCGTAATATGTAGCCAACATTTGGAAGAAGAATGTTTTCAAGATGACTTGGATAATAGCGCGTTGTGACAAACACCAGATACAGCACTGGGACTTGATCAACAGCCGATACCGCACCGTGACGTCACTAACCAGTAGGTGGCAGTAGTGTTCTTTGACAAACATGGATGCCTCCAGTAAAGCACATTCACATGAAAATTACTCTGAATTAAAAACACTGATCATTTATTGAACAGGATGGAATCATTTCAGATTTAAAGAACTTTCAGAAGTTTGGATTCTGAATATGAGCGACTTTTCCTTTAATCATCTAACCTTGTTTGAGAAAAAAAAAAGTTTGATAAATTCAGGAAAATCAGAATCCAGACATTCCAAAAATGTTCCTTTATTCAGAGCTTCATCTTCAGCAGATGTTTGAGGACCACACTCCTCTGAACTGCTCCTCCAGTGTTTAGTCAGCACCTCCTCCCCAGGAGTATAACTGGAAGCTGAACCATCAGCTGCTCTATAGATCTTCAGGTTCAGTTTATTCCTGTTTAAAGTTTCAGATGAACTCAGCAGAAAACAGAAACCATGAATTTCTGGAAATTTTTTTTATATTTTTACAAACTTGATGAAAAAGTCAGCACACATCTAGATAACTGCTATCTATGTCCCAAAGAGGAGGGGTCAGAGGTCAGCCTTGCTGTGACAGGCAGGCCCCAGGGCCTCGGTGGTCCGGCATACGGTGACCCTCAGGGTCCCCTCTGGGTTCAGGGTCCCACTGAGAGACAAGGGGTCCATGTCCTCTGGGAAGGAGGTTTTACGGGTGAAGGTGTTACCGACGCTCCCATCATCCAGAACCTGAAGGAGGAGAGCAGAACATCAGCAGAGGAGGAGGAGCCTCCGCCCTAAACCTCATGTCCCTCATTGGACATAAGGATGACCTCAGTGCGGCCCCCGCAGCCATGGCTGATGGACAATAAGCCTGCAGCAATCAGAGTTTTTTTTTCTACAGGAAGTGACATACTGACCCTCTGTGCGCTGACGACCACATGGTGGCCGTAGGCCATCACCACCACGTCGTGAGGCTCAAACTGGCGGAGGTCGGCCGTCATGCAGTAGGAGTCAGCGAGGCAACCTGACCCGCTTCCTGCCCCGCTGCACCAGCTCGTTACAGCGCCACCTACAGGACAAGCAGAGCCTCCTGAGGTTAACACAGAGCTATATAACACAGAATAAGCAGAGCTTTGCAGATAACGACTGTTAGATCTGTGAATAGAACTTTTACACAGATAGCATTAGCATTAGCGTGTTTTATAAATATATTTTAGCAGGTTTTATAACAGAGCAAATCTTTCAGCAAGAAAACTAAACTTTGGTCAATATTTATATCAACTTTAGCAACGTCCTTTAGAACTGGTTTAATTTCTACTAAAAACTGTTCAAACACAAAATCAACAGAAGGTTTTTACTTCAATCAGAATCATTGACACAACGACCCAAAGAAAACCCCTAAACCCATCGGTTTAGTCTGAGCCTAACTCTCCAATAAGCCATTAGGAAACCAGGGTCCGTTTCACGAAGCAGGTTTAACAAACTCAGGTTTAAATCCTGAGCTCTAAATTGATCTAGCCTAAAGTCAGGAACTCTGAGGGTTCGGTTTCATATAAGCTGCTATCAAGTAGATCAATCAACTCTGACCAGGTCCACTCAGAGTTTAACACGTACGTAACAAGTTTGAAAAGCCATTATCATTATCAATGCCACGAGTCGCCATGACAACAGACAACAGGAAGTGCCCGTTTCACCCCACTGGAAGTAGAGATTTAATGCAGAAATGAAAATAAAACAGAGAATGTGTTTAAAAGACAGAGAAACAGCTGCAAAGGAGACGAAGGAGAAGATTGTTGCTCGAGTTAATGAGTTTATATGAAGTGGTCTATGGCAGGCCGTTTTTACATTTATTCAAAGCACTCTCTTCTCTGTTGTTCCATTTGCAGATCACTAAAATAAGATTCTTGCTGATCAAAGTCACACTCCTAGAAACAACTATAATAATATATTTAATAAATAACATTTTTGTTGCACAAACTGAAATTTAGAAAGTAAAAAAAAGAAAAAAACTACACCAGTAAGAATGAAGTTTTATATATCTAGAAATGTTTCCACATGTTAAGTGGCCGTTCTGACATTTATCAGCTGGACTGAAAATGTAATTATGAAATCTGAAAAACATTTTTTCATAATTAAAATAATACAAATGCTGACCAGTTATATTAGGAATATGCAGATCTGAAATTAATTTCTAGAAATCCAGAATGTTTATTCTAGATGTGGAGAATGTCATTTTGTTTGAAATCATACAGCAGTAGCCATTCAAAATGTCCCCACTGGTCCTTGGCTGGTCCTTGGATGGTCATTGGATGGTCATTGGATGGTCATTGGATGGCCCTTGGGTGGTCCTTGGATGGTCATTGGATGGCCCTTGGGTGGTCCTTGGATGGTCATTGGATGGCCCTTGGGTGGTCCTTGGATGGTCCTTGGATGGTCATTGGATGGCCCTTGGGTGGTCCTTGGATGGTCATTGGATGGCCCTTGGGTGGTCCTTGGATGGTCATTGGCTGGCCCTTGGCTGGTCCTTGGCTGGCCCTTGGCTGGTCCTTGGCTGGCCCTTGGATGGTCATTGGATGGCCCTTGGGTGGTCCTTGGATGGCCCTTGGCTGGTCCTTGGTTGGTCCTTGGCTGGCCCTTGGCTGGTCCTTGGATGGTCATTGGATGGTCATTGGATGGCCCTTGGCTGGTCCTTGGATGGTCATTGGATGGCCCTTGGCTGGCCCTTGGCTGGTCCTTGGCTGGCCCTTGGCTGGTCCTTGGATGGTCATTGGATGGTCATTGGATGGCCCTTGGCTGGTCCTTGGATGGTCATTGGATGGCCCTTGGCTGGTCCTTGGATGGTCATTGGATGGCCCTTGGCTGGCCCTTGGCTGGTCCTTGGCTGGCCCTTGGCTGGCCCTTGGCTGGTCCTTGGATGGTCATTGGCTGGCCCTTGGCTGGTCCTTGGATGGTCATTGGATGGCCCTTGGCTGGCCCTTGGCTGGTCCTTGGATGGTCCTTGGCTGGCCCTTGGCTGGTCCTTGGATGGTCATTGGATGGCCCTTGGGTGGTCCTTGGATGGCCCTTGGCTGGTCCTTGGTTGGTCCTTGGCTGGCCCTTGGCTGGTCCTTGGCTGGCCCTTGGCTGGTCCTTGGCTGGTCCTTGGCTGGCCCTTGGATGGTCATTGGATGGCCCTTGGGTGGTCCTTGGATGGCCCTTGGCTGGTCCTTGGTTGGTCCTTGGCTGGCCCTTGGCTGGTCCTTGGCTGGCCCTTGGCTGGCCCTTGGATGGTCATGGGATGGCCCTTGGGTGGTCCTTGGATGGCCCTTGGCTGGTCCTTGGTTGGTCCTTGGCTGGCCCTTGGCTGGTCCTTGGCTGGCCCTTGGATGGTCATTGGATGGCCCTTGGGTGGTCCTTGGATGGCCCTTGGCTGGTCCTTGGCTGGTCCTTGGCTGGTTATTGCCTGGTCCTTGGCTGGTCCTTGGCTGGTCCTTGACTGGTCCTTGGCTGGTCCTTGACTGGTCCTTGGCTGGTCCTTGGCTGGTCCTTGACTGGTCCTTGACTGGTCCTTGGCTGGTCCTTGACTGGTCCTTGGCTGGTCCTTGGCTGGTCCTTGGATGGCCCTTGGCTGGTCCTTGGCTGGCCCTTGGATGGCCCTTGGCTGGTCCTTGGCTGGTCCTTGGCTGGCCCTTGGCTGGTCATTGGATGGCCCTTGGGTGGTCCTTGGATGGCCCTTGGCTGGTCCTTGGCTGGCCCTTGGCTGGTCATTGGATGGCCCTTGGGTGGTCCTTGGATGGCCCTTGGCTGGTCCTTGGATGGCCCTTGGCTGGTCCTTGGATGGTTATTGCCTGGTCCTTGACTGGTCCTTGGCTGGTCCTTGGCTGGTCCTTGACTGGTCCTTGGATGGTCCTTGGCTGGCCCTTGGCTGGTCATTGGATGGCCCTTGGGTGGTCCTTGGATGGCCCTTGGCTGGTCCTTGACTGGTCCTTGGCTGGTCCTTGACTGGTCCTTGGATGGTCCTTGGCTGGCCCTTGGCTGGTCATTGGATGGCCCTTGGGTGGTCCTAGGATGGCCCTTGACTGGTCCTTGGCTGGTCCTTGGCTGGCCCTTGGCTGGTCATTGGATGGCCCTTGGGTGGTCCTTGGATGGCCCTTGGCCGGTCCTTGGATGGCCCTTGGCTGGTCCTTGGATGGTTATTGCCTGGTCCTTGGCTGGTCCTTGACTGGTCCTTGGCTGGCCCTTGGCTGGTCCTTGGCTGGTCCTTGACTGGTCCTTGGATGGTCCTTGGCTGGTCCTTGGATGGCCCTTGACTGGTCCTTGGCTGGTCTTTGGCTGGCCCTTGGCCGGTCCTTGGCTGGCCCTTGGCTGGTCCTTGGTTGGTCCTTGGCTGGTCCTTGGTTGGTCCTTGGATGGTCCTTGGATGGCCCTTGGCTGGTCCTTGGCTGGTCCTTGGCTGGTCCTTGGCTGGTCCTTGGATGGTCCTTGGCTGGTCCTTGATTGGTCCTTGGCTGGCCCTTGGATGGTCCTTGGATGGCCCTTGGCTGGTCCTTGGCTGGCCCTTGGATGGCCCTTGGCTGGTCCTTGGCTGGTCCTTGGCTGGTCCTTGATTGGTCCTTGGCTGGCCCTTGGATGGTCCTTGGATGGCCCTTGGCTGGTCCTTGGCTGGCCCTTGGATGGTCCTTGGATGGTCCTTGGATGGCCCTTGGCTGGTCCTTGGCTGGCCCTTGGATGGTCCTTGGATGGCCCTTGGCTGGTCCTTGGCTGGTCATTGGCTGGTCCTTGGGTGGTCCTTGGATGGTCCCCTATAATTCCTTTTTAAACATCAATCTTTGTACTAAAATATTCTGTCATGATTTTTTAGACATTAGGATCTAAAGAGAAGCGCCATCTGCTGGTCAGACGCTGTAATTCAGTGAAGGGGTGGAGTCAGAGTGAAACAATAGCAGAAGGCCAGTGGCTGGAAGTTGGAGGGAAGTGAGCCGCCATTCGGCTGGTCCTTGACTGGGAAGGGTGGTTTTGAATGGCCGCTACTGTATCAGTAAAACTAATAGCCTGATGTTTCTAATATTACGGGATTTTTTCTTGAACAGTGGTGGATAAATGTTTGTATTTAGGTGAAATCATCTGGCAGCAGGTGAAAATGTTCCGATCTATAGGACCTGTTCATCGTCTCATGGGTTCCTCCTCAGTTTGGTTCTTATTCTCCACAGTAAATCCGTGTCTGTTTGCAGCTGTTCCAGATGTTTTCATCCCAATAAATGGTCGTTATTAGTGGCTATCAGTCCCATAGAACGGCTTCAGATTTTACCACTAGGCCCAGTAGGCTGTTATCATCCAGTGAATCCTAATCCTAACCCTGAAGTCATTCCCTGTGGAATCAATGAATCTATTTATGTCTAATCTGAAAGTTATTTTATTAGTTCTTCATATACTCTAAAAATAAATGAATAAAACGAGCCACATGTTGCTCATATTAAACAAATCAAAGATAAATCTCCTCTCCGGTCACTGAGTTGTTGAATCATCTCCCTATAAATATTTAATTCTCTGTGAATTAATCCAGATGAATCGGCTTCTCCTCTATGTTCTCTAAAGGACTAAACCAGCAGATTGTTTCCTCACCTGGAGGTCCAGAGGACGGCCTGCTGAGTGTGCTGAAGTGGGGCAGACTGTCGGGCCCCCCGGGGCCCCCCTCTCCAAACAGACCAGAGCATTTGGCAGAGTCGATAAAAGGCTCAAAAAGAGAATGGGAGGATCCGTCCTGGGATCCATCGGATCGATAGGAGCTGGAGGCGCTATAACGTGATGAGGAGCGATACGATGAAGAAGATCTCTGACTGGAAGTCATCAGCGATGCCATGAGGTCTACCTCTGTCCTCTGACGGAGCTCAGATCAGCCTCCTATTAACCCTACAGCGGCTTAAATAAAGCCTGCTGCATTCTGGGACACGGCGCCGGCTTTACCCTTAGATGGTTGTTTGTTTAAGCACTTCAACCAAGAGAGTAACGGACGAAACGATAAGGAGCTCCGGCCGCTTGCTGCTGTCACACACAGAGATAAGAGAACAGCGTTTGTGGCATGCAGGCAGAAATAGAAAGCAGAGGTCAGGTCCTCCATACTGCAGACCTGCACTGATCCAGACATGGCTGGATCCGGGGGGTGGGGGGTCTGCCTACCTCTTCTCTCTGTACTCAGTTTGTTGGTGGAAATCTTTCCCATCAGGTCTGAATCTAGCCTCCATTTCCAGACTGACAGCAATCCTCCAAAAAAATCCAACCTAAATAATAACCTGGGAGAACAGTCTGAAACTGAGCTGCTGACTGACCTTCAGTCCGGTCTGCTGGGACCCCCCCTGCCTGGGTTCTGGTTTGGACCCAGCCCAGCCTCTGCCTGACCTGGGTTTAAAGTGAGGCTGTTCTTTGATCTGCAGTGAATTTAACCAATAAAGTCTTATTTCCATCCCATCACTAAAGGTGCTAATCTCCAGCGGTTATTAGCATAGAAGCGGCTGCTCCCTCAACACAGACCACCATGAACACAGACCACCATGAACACAGACCACCATGAACACAGACCACCATCAACACAGACCACCATGAACACAGACCACCATGAAGACAGACCACCATGAACACAGACCACCATGAACACAGACCACCATGAACACAGACCACCATGAAGACAGACCACCATGAACACAGACCACCATCAACACAGACCACCATGAAGACAGACCACCATGAAGACAGACCACCATGAACACAGACCACCATGAACACAGACCACCATGAACACAGACCACCATGAAGACAGACCACCATGAACACAGACCACCATGAAGACAGACCACCATGAAGACAGACCACCATGAAGACAGACCACCATGAACACAGACCACCATGAACACAGACCACCATGAAGACAGACCACCATGAACACAGACCACCATGAACACAGACCACCATGAAGACAGACCACCATCAACACAGACCACCATGAACACAGACCACCATGAACACAGACCACCATCAACACAGACCACCATGAAGACAGACCACCATGAACACAGACCACCATGAAGACAGACCACCATGAACACAGACCACCATGAAGACAGACCACCATGAACACAGACCACCATCAACACAGACCACCATCAACACAGACCACCATGAAGACAGACCACCATGAAGACAGACCACCATGAACACAGACCACCATGAACACAGACCACCATGAAGACAGACCACCATGAACACAGACCACCATGAACACAGACCACCATGAAGACAGACCACCATCAACACAGACCACCATGAACACAGACCACCATGAACACAGACCACCATCAACACAGACCACCATGAAGACAGACCACCATGAAGACAGACCACCATGAACACAGACCACCATGAACACAGACCACCATGAAGACAGACCACCATGAACACAGACCACCATGAACACAGACCACCATGAAGACAGACCACCATGAAGACAGACCACCATGAACACAGACCACCATGAAGACAGACCACCATGAAGACAGACCACCATGAACACAGACCACCATGAAGACAGACCACCATGAACACAGACCACCATGAAGACAGACCACCATGAAGACAGACCACCATGAACACAGACCACCATGAACACAGACCACCATGAAGACAGACCACCATGAAGACAGACCACCATGAACACAGACCACCATGAAGACAGACCACCATGAAGACAGACCACCATGAACACAGACCACCATGAAGACAGACCACCATGAACACAGACCACCATGAAGACAGACCACCATGAACACAGACCACCATGAAGACAGACCACCATGAAGACAGACCACCATCAACACAGACCACCATGAAGACAGACCACCATGAAGACAGACCACCATGAACACAGACCACCATGAACACAGACCACCATGAAGACAGACCACCATGAAGACAGACCACCATGAACACAGACCACCATGAAGACAGACCACCATGAACACAGACCACCATGAAGACAGACCACCATGAACACAGACCACCATCAACACAGACCACCATGAACACAGACCACCATCAACACAGACCACCATGAACACAGACCACCATGAAGACAGACCACCATGAAGACAGACCACCATGAAGACAGACCACCATCAACACAGACCACCATGAAGACAGACCACCATCAACACAGACCACCATGAAGACAGACCACCATGAACACAGACCACCATCAACACAGACCACCATGAACACAGACCACCATGAAGACAGACCACCATGAACACAGACCACCATGAACACAGACCACCATGAAGACAGACCACCATCAACACAGACCACCATCAACACAGACCACCATCAACACAGACCACCATGAAGACAGACCACCATGAACACAGACCACCATCAACACAGACCACCATGAACACAGACCACCATGAACACAGACCACCATCAACACAGACCACCATGAAGACAGACCACCATGAACACAGACCACCATGAAGACAGACCACCATGAAGACAGACCACCATGAACACAGACCACCATCAACACAGACCACCATGAACACAGACCACCATCAACACAGACCACCATGAACACAGACCACCATGAAGACAGACCACCATGAAGACAGACCACCATGAACACAGACCACCATCAACACAGACCACCATCAACACAGACCACCATGAAGACAGACCACCATGAAGACAGACCACCATGAACACAGACCACCATGAACACAGACCACCATGAAGACAGACCACCATGAACACAGACCACCATGAAGACAGACCACCATCAACACAGACCACCATGAACACAGACCGCCATGAACACAGACCACCATCAACACAGACCACCATGAAGACAGACCACCATGAACACAGACCACCATGAAGACAGACCACCATGAACACAGACCACCATGAAGACAGACCACCGTGAACACAGACCACCATCAACACAGACCACCATGAACACAGACCACCATCAACACAGACCACCATGAACACAGACCACCATGAAGACAGACCACCATGAAGACAGACCACCATGAACACAGACCACCATCAACACAGACCACCATCAACACAGACCACCATGAAGACAGACCACCATGAACACAGACCACCATGAAGACAGACCACCATCAACACAGACCACCATCAACACAGACCACCATCAACACAGACCACCATGAAGACAGACCACCATGAACACAGACCACCATCAACACAGACCACCATGAACACAGACCACCATGAAGACAGACCACCATGAACACAGACCACCATGAACACAGACCACCATGAAGACAGACCACCATCAACACAGACCACCATCAACACAGACCACCATGAAGACAGACCACCATGAACACAGACCACCATCAACACAGACCACCATGAACACAGACCACCATGAACACAGACCACCATCAACACAGACCACCATGAAGACAGACCACCATGAACACAGACCACCATGAAGACAGACCACCATGAACACAGACCACCATGAAGACAGACCACCATGAACACAGACCACCATCAACACAGACCACCATGAACACAGACCACCATCAACACAGACCACCATGAACACAGACCACCATGAAGACAGACCACCATGAAGACAGACCACCATGAACACAGACCACCATCAACACAGACCACCATCAACACAGACCACCATGAAGACAGACCACCATGAACACAGACCACCATGAAGACAGACCACCATCAACACAGACCACCATCAACACAGACCACCATCAACACAGACCACCATGAAGACAGACCACCATGAACACAGACCACCATCAACACAGACCACCATGAACACAGACCACCATGAAGACAGACCACCATGAACACAGACCACCATGAACACAGACCACCATGAAGACAGACCACCATCAACACAGACCACCATCAACACAGACCACCATGAAGACAGACCACCATGAACACAGACCACCATCAACACAGACCACCATGAACACAGACCACCATGAAGACAGACCACAATGAACACAGACCACCATGAAGACAGACCACCATGAACACAGACCACCATGAACACAGACCACCATCAACACAGACCACCATGAAGACAGACCACCATGAACACAGACCACCATGAAGACAGACCACCATGAACACAGACCACCATGAAGACAGACCACCATCAAAACAGACCACCATCAACACAGACCACGATCAACACAGACCACCATGAAGACAGACCACCATGAACACAGACCACCATCAACACAGACCACCATCAACACAGACCACCATGAACACAGACCACCATCAACACAGACCACCATCAACACAGACCACCATGAACACAGACCACCATCAACACAGACCAACATGAACACAGACCACCATGAAGACAGACCACCATGAACACAGACCACCATGAAGACAGACCACCATCAACACAGACCACCATGAACACAGACCACCATCAACACAGACCACCATGAAGACAGACCACCATGAACACAGACCACCATCAACACAGACCACCATGAACACAGACCACCATCAACACAGACCACCATCAACACAGACCACCATGAACACAGACCACCATCAACACAGACCACCATCAACACAGACCACCATGAACACAGACCACCATGAACACAGACCACCATGAACACAGACCACCATGAAGACAGACCACCATCAACACAGACCACCATGAACACAGACCACCATGAACACAGACCACCATGAAGACAGACCACCATCAACACAGACCACCATGAACACAGACCACCATCAACACAGACCACCATGAACACAGACCACCATGAACACAGACCACCATCAACACAGACCACCATGAAGACAGACCACCATGAACACAGACCACCATGAAGACAGACCACCATGAACACAGACCACCATGAACACA